TACTTTGGTCGAAGAATCTTTCGGGAGTTTCTTGAAACGTTTGAAGCGTCAAAAGTGGAAAGAAATTTAGAAAAACAAACTTTGCCACGAAGAAAATACGCTTCAATTGAATTGTTGATCGAATTTCAGTAATCGTAATTTTGCTAACTGTACATGATACTTGAACATCATACAGTATTCATACAACGGAGTACATTGAAAAGTCGTGAATGGAGAACAACTAGAAGATCGGTTCCAAGTGAAGAGCAGTGTCAGACAAGGTTGTTTACTCTCCCCCTTTCTTCTGGCGGTCGACTGAATTGTGATGACCTACACATCTGACGGAAAGCACGTAGTACAACTGAACAGCTTGGGTTCAATTAGACGACTTGGATTTTGCAGATGACCTAGTCTCATTCGGACTGTTCCTGGATATGACCGCTGTCTTTAATCTAGCGTCCTTTATTAGCACCGTTAGTTAAAATTAATCGATTTAACATTAGTGTCGAATAAATTTAAAGCTAGAGTAGTTATAAGGGATCAGAGACTTGCTGTGATCAAGTTTATAACTAACTAAATTTGCGACCTTATCTCGCATAACTTGACTGTTAGCTGTTCAGAGGCCGATTAGCTTTCAGTTAAAATTTCACACTACTCTTAAGTAGTTTACTAGGTTAAGGAATATTTGTCAGTGATAGATCACTGACATCGCATTTCACCACTGAATTGTAACTAGTGAAGTCGATGTAATATATGCGTACAATTGTACGTACACATTACCTGAATCATTGCACGACTACATTACATTACAAGATTACTTGATACATTCAGCATTGAAAAGAAATTAAAATTGTGTATTAAATTTGTGATGAAATCAACTATTAATTATCTCGTAGTGTCTATTGGTATGTCAAGCACACATGGGTTATTCTAGCTTCCAGATAGACCGGTTTATTTAGTCTTCTTAAGTCACATTTTGAACTTGTTAATTATTTGATTACTAACCTTGACTATTTTTATATGAGCGTAAATGTATTAATTGCTTACCCTATTCATTGAATTTCGCTTTGTCAAAATGAACAGGCTCACTTGCCTTCTCCGTTTAGCTTCTTATTCTGAATGTCTGTCTAAACAAACGAGTGTTTGAAATAAATTCATCCAACGCAACCCGTACCTGCTTCTTACTACCGCCGTCATACAAACGGGGTTAGCGTAGGTAACATACGGAGTTAAATGGAAGACTAATGTTCATAGCATCTTCGTACGATCAAATTGTAGTCAGACACAGGGTTTCAGTCTTAATTAATTCTTAGTTGGTCAACATACGATTAGAAGCATCCATTGAAAATGAGGCATTATCCATGTTACTTAACCAATCAGATTTCAGTAAAAGGGGGCGTATTGTGAAACAATGACTACACAATTGGTCTGGATCACCTTCTAAAAATGTTATATCGACCCAATCATATGAGTGACTTTTTTAAGAAATAAGACGGATAGAAATTTATGAATTTTATTTCCCATTTCCCCACCCCGTACAAAAATTACCAACCTGAGAACTAATATTCACGTCCTATAAATTGGATAGTTGAATTATCCACACCCTTTTCTCAGTCTAGACAACACTAGCAGCAAAATCTCCTACTGGTGTTACGACTTTGAATTTTCTACTCACTAGTTCTAGTCCCGGAGTGAACATCAAATCCGGGGATGCAGGTACACCCAGTTGACTAGTCCCAAATAGGACGAATCGCTCGTTCTGGACTCCACTGCTAGCCATTATCCATCTTTGCTTATAAAGCTTGTGACTTAAGACAATATCGAGTCAATCCGCACGGGATGCTCACATGCCAATAAGAGACTGATCAATTGCAATTCTAAACAACAACACACTAGTTTGTGCTTTAATTCGTGGAGAATTAGTTGTCACAGTCTGGTTCACAGACTTGACGTAGTAGATTATTTACTACAATCATGTGACTTATAACGCGTGCATCCGACTTGTGCTTTAATAGTTTTAAGGGCAGAGAAAAATCATCCTATCACTGATCAATTATCTGATTGGAAAGGAAAGACTATTCAGCTGAAACTCTAAATCCGACTTATTACTGGTTCAACTAGCTCAAAAATGTACATGAATAAATGTATAACTAACAGGACCAAAATACAAACAGAACGCGAAAAATATGATCATATATGAACTAGAACATTGGAAGTAGAACGATCAAGTTTAAATCACAGCAATTTAGGAATAGAAGATAATATGGCGGTAATTTATAGAATTTATAGAATAAAATAGGTACAGAAACAAATGTTATTACTTCACAGATTTTGAATTAAGCGAGGGAAAAAATGACATAATCATCTGATTAACTTTGGTAACCCTTAAAGTGTTTTATAAGTAATAGCTTCTTTTTACTCGCATTCTTTCCTTTTTAGTATATAATTTTCATGGAATAACTTTATTTCAAAGAATATATCACCTAAAGAGTCCTCCTAAAGTCATACCTACTTATTCAATACACGATTTATAATAAGTACTTTTATTTTAGAATAGCTATTTAATATTCCTTAAAGATATTCACCATATCATAAATAAGTTCTTCTTTTGGATACCATGAATTGTTAGTTTAATTGTCTTGTAAAATCTGTTTACATATATTCACCAACCGATTTGTTGTTATCAGTATAGGGTTATGGAAGTTGGTTCGTTTTATTTGAGATCATGAACCGATCAGTATTAGACCACTACTGAAAACCTGAAAGCACTGGATTTGTTGATTTATGTTTATTCACTTCAAGTGTTATTATGTCCAAAACTTTGTCGGACAACTCGCATAAATCGAATGCAGTTCAAGATGTTTTTACATTGATAACAACTTTCTACATTATAAGCAGAGTTGGATGATGGCTAGTGATGGAATACAAGATGTACGTTTCGTCCCATTTGTGATTTGTCAGCTAAATATGCTTGCATCTCAGAGTTGATGTTCAATTCGTGACTCAGTACTGTTTGCTTCGAATGACATTGCGTTATCCATTTGGCTACTGAGCTCAGTTAGTTACTAATTTTAACTGCCATTTCCGATTATTACTCTCGAAATTTTTTATAACAGAAAAAGCATTTTACTATTTGACTTCTATAATCTTGTTATTATACTTATCATACTTAATACACTATCTGCTGCGACATTACTATTCTTTCAGTTAATAACTTAGGCTTGTACCTGTCGTTTTGACTAACGTTTGTTTGAAAGGTATATTCTTTATTAAATTGTGTAGGTCTAAATGTAACAGTACTTTTAAACACTTTTTAACTTATTTTTCAAGCCCTAATAACGGATAGATAAATAATAAGGTGCGGTATAGAAAGTACCGAGTGGATTGAAACTTTATTGTATGAAACACATGTCAGTTGACACAATTCATTGTATTATTATACAAATGCATTTATTCAGTTCAATCTCGAATTTTAGCATATTTTAATTCGATATAAAATAATCCAAAGTTAATCGGTTGAATAAAAATAAAATAATAAGGCTACTACTTCTTATAATAATTAATTTAGACATATATTAAGTTTAAAGGTTAGAGATCCAAGGTTAGTTTTAATTGAGAATGCAATACCGTTAACTGAATAGATCGAATACAATTCACTTACCATGTCAAATTTTAGTTGAGTAACCAGCTAATATCAGCCTGCGACCAAAATTGTCTTCAAAATAAACTAGCATCTATAAAGACTAATGAACAAAAAGTTATCGTGCAATCAGAAGCGACTAGCTTACACACTGATAGTCAATATATATCGTTATGGAAAATGGCAACTTGATTTGTAACAGAAAAAACCTTTTGAAAACCAATAATTGCCTTAGTTTAAATGTTTCAGTGAAGGCGCGCGAAACCAAAAGTCCCGGGTTTGAGTCTTGCATCCGGGATCGTGGACGCGCACTGCCGAGGAGTCCCATACTAGGTCGAACTGGCCATTCAGTGTTTCCAGGTTTTCAATGGTTGCCTAACATTGATCGGTTCATGATCGCAATTTTTGTCAGTCAGGTATTATTATGACTTATATAAATTATGTTTTCAGTACTCAAACAGAATTCACATGTTCTTCAGAATGTAATCTCGAGATATGCATTAAACAACCATCTCGAAATTTTGGGGAATAGTTGTGGGTATTTGGGTCTTGCCACGTTAAATATGAAGCAATTACACACCAATGACATTGAAAGATGGATGAGGAATATCTTTGCTTTTTTGGAATTAATCATGTAGACCATTGAATGCTGGCTCAACAATCAAAATGTTATACATTCGCCATGAAACTCGAAGGCACCGGGTCCAATTCCCTTAGGGATGAGTGGTCCTTATTCCTGATGAGTGACATTCTGGGATCCACTATTTTCCAGTGTTTCATGGTTCTTAATGGTTGTCCAACAAGACTTTGTTCATATTACGATATTCTCTTTATTTTTTGTGATTCATTTAAAATATTTACCTATGGTTTAATAATGTAATGATGAAATGATATCTACAGAGCTGATAAATATTCCAGTATTTGAATAAGTCATTCGGTAAGAAACACCGTATTCCACTTGCCAATTACTGGATGTAAACCAATGTCATGTGGTTTAGTTCTTGATGCTGATCAAATTTTTTGTGATGCAGTCACGGAAAAGTAACATTTAGGAAACTCTATTTAGTGTAAAGTTGCTTTTTATATGATCGAGGAGAATGGGTGAACGTAGGTTTTATGCTACTTAGTCATACATCAAAAATGAATAGCTCCAAGCTCGGATCAAATTTTTATCCCCTGGTGATTTGAAAGGATGACAGAGCATGACACAATATTCTGCTTAGTGTTGTAGGTATTCTTTGTTGATCGGCGTCAAGCAGCTTATAAGACCATCTAACACACTTTTTTGTTCGTTGAGTCTGGTAGTAGTCCTATACAAATGATACGCATTCGATCAACCATTTTCTGTTTGTTCAAGAGAAAAGTGTGAATGTGAATATCAGTAAAAATACCTTTTTATACCATTGTTAAGCTTTTTTAATTATATAAAATACATTTATACAGAGGGGAATACAGACATATCAGTATTTAAATCGTATACACATAATGAATAATGACAATAAAAATAATAAAATCACTGTCTCGTTCTCAAATAATAGTAATAATGTTAATAATGTAGGCCTTCGTTTTATTGTGTTCGAAAGACAATCATTGATTTTCCTTGGAATTGAAAGTAACTGAAGTATCCATCCAAATGTGATACATAACTGTAAAGTAAATTGAAAGATCAAATGATAATTTAAATTAACGATCTAGTACAATATTTAGAAGCTGTTTATTAATGATTAAACCTAAGTTGATAAATAGTTCTAGGGGATGCCGTTTTTCAATGAGACGGTGATGAATAGTTAATTTGCTTATGTTTATATAGTTTTGACTGTTGTAAACAAAGTCCAATTTTAAAAATAGGTCTTTAAATTATGGTCAGATATTGAATGAAGTTATAATAAATAGGCTTTAAACTAGTCTTAAGTAATCTTTTTTTCATCTCCAGTCAAAGGATAATATTCGCTTATTTGAATTTTAGTTTCGGTAATCCTATGTATTCCTGCTAAATATAAATTTGATGACTTCACTAGAATGGTAACAGTCCATAATCTATGAAAGCCTCCTTGAGGAAAGTGAGGAACTTCAGTCCAATATAATGCAGATAACTGATTGACAGTAAATTATAGTGAGTATGACAATGATTTTTACTTGTTAAGAAGTTTCTATCTTTAAAGTTTCTCACGTTGGAATAAAGAGAAATCATGTGGTAATTTTCATCAAGTTTCTATACTTCGTGAGAAATATTAATCTTGATTAATTTTCGTTTGGATAATCATTAGAGGTTAGATTTCAACGAACAACTATTTAACCCATATTCAGTGCTGAAATAATACCCAAGAGCTTTAATTTTAACGGTAGATACAGTTTCCATAGTTTAATAAGTAGCAAACAATCAGGCCATATTTCAACCCCAATCGACTAGGGTTACTAAGCAATCCTTTTACGATGTGCTAACAATGGATTACCCTTTTACCCTTAAATTGGATTATTTCATAGGTCGTGATTTCTTATTAAGAGTTTAAGATGGTAATTTCTAAAGTCGTAAGGAGTGATGATAAGACTACTTATATTTGTGAGTGCTTCATTATTCAATGATGTCAGAAATTGACTAAGGTTGAAATTCCTTACCATTAGATCCCACTATAATGGCTTAAATGGTCCATGTTTAAAGCTTAACCTTATTCACAAACTTATGGATCATGATTGTTCAATGTTCACAACTTCTCATTGATCTTTCAGCTGATGTCATTTTGCGCACAGAAACAGTGTTTAATACTCGAGCTTTACTGTTTATTCCTAAAAAGCGTTGAATTTGAAGACCAAGTTATCAAAGTACTTGTAATTAGATTCTGTAATAGAGATTTTACATAGATGAATTATGATTCACTTTGAAAGGACTCGGGTTGCTGAATTATTTGAAGTTGATAAATAGAAGACTTATTGATACAAGGAAAATAAAAGTTGTTAAACAGTGGAGAAAATGTGTACCTCAGGTTGATGATTTTAATGGAGTTTTGTTCTATGAGCTGGATGGTTTGGTCGTGAAGCTTTCATCGTTCTTCTGAACGACATCATCAGCACAAACTTCAAATAGAAGTGAAGTGTTCGAATTTCTCCATATGTGGTTCACAGCATGTTTCACAGTGTATTCTCTAAAATTAAGTTCATGAGTTGCTGGTTTATGGGTGGTCTCTAGTATAAGTATTATGTTAACTGGGATTCAGTGATCGGCTGTTTTTTGGGGGACTTTTCTAGAAATGAATCATTAAATCTCGATTATAAGATATAATGTAAGTTATAATGACATAATTATACTGAAAATTAATCAGCAGTGTGCATTTACTAAAACACATTTTTAGTAAATACAGACTACTCTATTCATCAATAAATTCTTCTATTAAGTTTTAGAAACGATTGGTTTATGGTCACATACACATCAATTCACATACCATCTACAGTGTAATTTCAGATAATGTGACCTCTCACGAAAATTTGGTATTAAGTAAAAAGCTTACTTGATATTACAGCATTCTTCTGTCATAACTACTGTTTTAAGTGAATACATTTTCACTAATGATGCACTGAAATTTTTCCATTAACGCATAACTTATTTAATTTACAACATAGTAACTTATTTATTAGATATTCCATAAACTATGGTTATTAAATCAACCTTTTCGATGTCTAGTTGATCTTATATTACACATCTGTAATAACAAAGGGAATGCTTTTAAAAACAACTCCAATAGACGGAATACACTCATTTTGGTTAAAAATCAATTCAAGAGTAGACTGACACACAAGTATAGGTCATTGAACGATGTTAGGACTCAGAAATATAGTACAAGGATCAATGAATGATTTCTTGACAAGAATCAGAATGATACGAAAGTTAAAAAATTCAGTAGGTCGTTTCACCGGAGCAGGTCATATAAGGTGAAATGATTGTTTAGAATTGAGGTAATTCTGATGCAACTGAAGAGACGTCTTACTGATCGATGCTGATAATTTTGACTACTTCATTTATTTCAGATCGAAGATGGATTTTACAAATTGTTTAGTTCCGGAATGAACATAAAAAATGCCATCCATCGCTTTATTTGAGTAATATGTAGACCAAAATTTCATGTCTAAAAATGACTTATTGTCGTTTTATTGATGTATACCAAACTGGATACACTTTTCAATAGGATAACTGAAAACTATTTTCTGTATCACTTCTAACGGTAAATATTTATTTCTATCACATCACTAACAATAAACCTTTTAATAAATATATTTTTATCAGAAGGGGTTTTGTGGATATTATAGTGATTTCAATGGTTGAGATCGTGAGTCATTTGAAGCTAGACCACCATGGAAGACCTGGAAGCACTGGACGGCCGTTTCGTCCTATTGGGGGACTCACTAGTAGGACGAGATGGCCATCCAGTGCTTCCAGGTCTTCCATGGTGATCTAGCTTCAACTGACCCATGATCTCAACCACTGAAATATATTTTTGTTTCCTTTGTACTATTCAAACTTGTGTTAATTTAATTCGGTTATTTATTTACTCTGAAGAAGTGTCTTACATTAAGTCACGAAACGTCAGAAATACAATTTTTGTACTCATTGGGATCGAGCAAAAATATATTTATTATTAACTGTCTACCCAATGTTCAATTTATTTGAAACTATCAAATCCAAACTTGGCATTGATACCAGTAAACCTTATATCTTCACTCTTCGTATTATTCTTTTCGAGTTCCAGTTATATGTGTACAGTATATAGCTTTACCAGTTCTCGATGTTTCGCTTTGAATTATTCATACTTGTACACAATTACTTTGATTTATTTGTTAATCAATCAGTTTAACTAAAATAATACACATCAATTCAAATGTTATATTCAATTACATTTTCTTCACAATTCTTAAATAACTTGGAAGTAAGTACCATTTACAAATTTATCGGTTTCACATGAAACCACTTATCCTCCGATCATACCTAATCTATATTATCTAGTCAACGTTTGAAAATTCAATGCGGTGGAAAGTAAGGAAATGTTTGATTTGTGTGCGTGTGTGTATTTTTGTATTCAAAGCAAAGGAAATATGAAATGATTACAAGTTACAAAATAAAGTTCCATCAGTAAATTACTTCATTAATCAAATACAGTAGTGACTATATTTGGCTCAAGGAAGGAATATAGTTTTACTTTGATTTCATCAATCTTCATAAGACTTTTTCTGAATTCTTAAGTTATTTACATCAAATGCATTTTTTTTAGAAAGTTTATTTCAAGGTCAGTCATAAATTTTGTATGTAAATATGTACATGACAACAACCATTTGTCATTTAGAATTAAAAACACTAAGTTCAGCGAAGGGATCTCTTTCCAACGAGCTGTACAATTATTGATGTTCACATTTCTTTAAGGAATTAGTACTTTGCCAAAAAATTTTGATGTGCTTGAATGGTATTACGAGTTCACCTTACTCAGTAAACGGAAGATCAAAGATACGATGACAAGATAGGCTATCCTAATCCGTTGTCCCTGGCTCTGCTAACTAGATCAAGAAGTCTTAATGAGGCTTAGAGAATGTATACTACAAGTACCCAGAAAAGAAGAGGTCACTAAGTACACAAATCAAGCTTATTTATACAATGATAGAAACACCCTTGGAAGAGCCACAAAATAGCGTACTAAAAAAATCCGTCAACCAATGATAGTCAAGGATTTCTGAATGGGAAATGTAAGCTGTAGGTCAAATAAGCGTCTCTAGGGTCAAAAACATAAAATTCAAATTTTCAGAATAAAATTACAAAATTAGGAACTTTTCCAAGTTAGTTCTGGGGATCTAACGTCCTCAACAAATTTCATGTATATACGATTGTTCAGCTTGATAAGAAATTCATTGAAAAGAGATCCCTTCGCTGAACTTCGTGTTTTTAATTTGTCATTAAAATGATAAAAAAATGTTAAGCAGTTAGATGTCAGTGAGTATACTGCTCTAAAGTTTTATGTCAAATTCAGCGATAGTAAACTGAATGTCTGATTAATTGCATTTAATTTTATCCTTAAACAACAACAGCCAATGACTGGCAGTTTTTATTAACTGATGTATCAGCAAATGTTTTAATCAATAGGTCTTCTGAGTTTTTCTCGAACAGCCTGGAATGCTCTGGAAAATGTTTTGTTAGTTTTATGTAATTCTGAGTTGGTTGATGGGACTTGATATTGATCGATATGTAAACTAATTGAATTCTTTCAGTGCAGATGATTGACAAACGTGGAACGAGATAACGAAATTGGTAAATAATATTTATTCTTTACTTTTGAATGTCACTGTAAATGGATGATAATAAAATTAGCTATCATTTTTTAGTATAATGCTTGTTTATACAGGGCTGTCTAACGTTTACTTTGTTAAATGAATAGGATTTTTAGATATTTTGTCGTGACATAATCTAAAAAACAATTAGATTCGAAAAAGAGTTATATTCAGTCCACTAGATATTACTGTGATCTAATACATAAAGCAAAATGCATCATAGATTAACTGCATTTTGGACGCAATGAACACTTAATTTATTCTTGTCATAAATGGATCAATTTTAGACCACTATTGAAAATCTGGAAGCACTGAACGGCCGTTTGGTCCTAGTATGGGACTCCTCAGTAATGTGCACCCATAGTCTCCCATGTGGGATTCGAACCCAGGGTCGGTTCAGTGGTCTAGAGGATATGCGTTCGTGCACGAGGCCGAGGGTACTGGGTTCGGATCCGACGTGCGAGATCGTAGATGCACATTACTGAGGAGTCCCATACTAGAACGAAATAGCCTCTCAGAGATTCTAGGTTTTCAATGGTAGTCTAACATTGGTTCATTCATGATATCAATCTAAGCTCAACTATCTCCACAACCCTTTACTGACACTTAATTTATTGTTTGTTGTCTCATTTGACTTTTATAAGTGATTCTAACTCTTGCACACTTTTCAAGTTACTGATTAAAAAAATCTCAAACAAATGACTGAAGATAGGAGTTTCAGAATATCTGTATTACATTGTTTAATATGTGTACAATATCTAGAACTTCTCCGTTCATTTAATGAGTTAAGGCTGCATATAAGTGTGTAATTTCCATTGAGACTTTAATTTCAAGCTTTGACTTTGACCTTTCTATTTTCTTTTCATTCAATAAGTTGGGATATACTAAGTCAGTTTTCATATAAAACAATAAATACTTTGTTATAGAAGATTAAAATTAAGTCCTCATTAAAAATTGCCCTTTTGTGAAGCACAAACACACTAAGTGAACGAAAAAGAATGTGAATGAAGATACTAGAGATTACACTTTTATTGAACAATGGAAATGAATGGTTATTCTTGTACAATAATCGTCACAGAAAACCAACTTCACATATTTATTGTATATTTTATTCAGAAATACAGTCCATGTATATCCATATTCATTACTAACTTTTATTCTACCTTATGTTTAAGCAATTATTTCCAAATTAAACATTCAATTCAATAGTTAGTTTTGTTAATTACATGAACCGAATTTATTCTAAAGGTTTTTTCAATAGTTGAGATTATGGGTCAATTGAAGCTAGACCATCATGGAAAACCTGGAAGCATTGGACGGCCGTTTCGTCATATCATGAGACTCTTCAGCAGTGTGCATCCATCTCAACTATTGAAATTACTATGATATTCACAAAAAACCCCTTCTGATATTATTCAAAATAGTTTTATTAATTGAAATGAATAGTATAGTTATCAATACTTGATTGTTATTACAGATAACAAAATCATTACATAAGCTACAATATCCTTATTATTGTTATTATTGCTAAATTAAAAGAATACCACAAACATAGAAATGTTACAAAAAGTCTGAAAGATTAGTTAGAACATTTCACAGCTTAATAATTAAATTTCAACTAAACATGATAAATAATCGATGAAAAACGTCATTAACAGATGAATATTTAATTTATAATCGATATGTCATTATATAGTTATTACGTAACTTATCTACTCGATGAGTATTATTTCATTAATATCAGATGGGTTTTGTGAATATTATAGTAATCTCAGTGGTTAAAATCATGAGTCAGTTGAAGCTAGACCACCATGGAAAACCTGGAAACACTGGACGGCCGTTTTGTCCTATTGTGGGACTCCTCAGCAGTTCGCATCCACGGCCTCGCCCCCCTGCGAGATTCGAACCCAGGACCTATTGTAAATGAACAGTTTTGTTACATCTAGAGTATCATAGTATTCTTTAATTTCAACTGGTGATAATCAAACTTCATTAATAAACTATTAAAGCATAAGTGGAATGTTTCATCATCAAGAAGTAAATAAAAGTGGATGAATAAATCTGTTGTAAACCTTTATTTCATACTTAATGACTATATACCTATGATTTATAAAAAATAATGAATGTCATTATGAAAAACATGATAGAAATAGGGGGGATTCTTGAATTAAAATCTAATAAATATGAGGTAATAACTCGTTAGAACAACTGAGAAATGAATGTTATCCAAAACTAACATTTAATGATCTAATAGGGGATATGAAGCGGTAATTTTAAGTAGTAAGTGTATATCTCAGATAGAAGTGTGATAAATCTTTTACTGTATATTAATTGTGAATAACATGATAGAAATTAATGTTAGTATATCTACCCTTCCATGTACGCGCTTCACATATATGGTTACTAAATATTAACCTTATATTACACAAAAAATCCTAAAATTGCCACCTCTATGTTATCACATTATAATAGTTGGGAAAGGAAAATGTTATATCCGGACGAAGAATAATGAGTGGTAACTGTTAAGATCTATGTATGGACTGTTATTCTATGTAATCTTATTTGTAGAACCATTAAGTAAGTGTACTATATGTATATTCATATTCATTTTATTATAAGCTTACGTTTGACCTGTTGACCACTATTATTCCCAAGTTATTAGCTACAGTCTCCTACACTCTCAGCCACTTTTTGGCCTGATGTTTTTTATTATTATTTTCTGTTTTATGGTATGAAGCGATCTGGTTTGTTTGTATATAAACCCAGTATGTCTGAAAATGTATGATTCATATTATGGAGACTGGTATTTGCGGTCTGGACTGGACCGGCTGGGTTAGGCGAGATGCTTCTATCTCAAAGAACCAAAAAGAACTCTAGGCTGCTTGTCACAGGCCATAAAAGAATATCTTAATATTTACAAAAGAGTGCACAGTGTCAAATTCATTAAAAGACACGGGATTTTCTATCGAGTTATATAATCTTTTGAGCTTACAAATTCTAACCTAACATTTCACAGAGAAGGAATGTTTAGATGCTGCCTCAATAAAAGAAAAATCAAGTTTGAACGTAGGTAATAAAAAACATTTTATTGATTATCACTGTGCTAAGACTTACCATCCGAAATCCTTGCCTAAAACACAATGCCAAACACCACCATCATATTTATCCATATGTTTCTTAACATAAGCTGCAATATCTCTTTCTTCATCATACTGTTCCGTAGCTACCACACATGTGTCTACAACAATTTTCTGTAATGGTCCTTGCATATCAGTAGATTTCATTAATGCACGACGATTTTCCATCTTGTTGGTTCAGTAAATTCCTATTTTTGTTTTAGTCCTTTTACTCTTATATTGTGATATCGGATTGTGAATGCGCTTTATAAATTGGATAGTTGCCAAAGGCAGTAGTAGTAGTAGTAGTAGTAGTAGTAGTAGTAGTAGTAGTAGTAGTAGTACTAGTAGTACTAGTTCTAATAATCCGTATTGTATCGAAACAAATTACTTTACTTTCATACAACAAATAGTTGTTGAGTTCACTATCAAAGAAAAGAGCAAAAAAAAAAAAGAAAAAAGGCCTTCTTAACAAATTTGTGTGCATCTTATTTTATTCTTTAAATTTATAGTTACATAAAAATTAAAAACATTTTTATGTTATCTCTTCACTTTTATTCAAATCATCCAATCGAAATCAAGATGAGCAATGTGCATCTCTTTCTCCGAATACGCATGTATGTGTTTATCTGGATATATAGAGGATGTTACATCTACATTTAAAATAGCTACACCAAAATCGATTCTTACATACCACTACCCAGTTAAACAAACAGAAAAAAAAACATTGATTTATAGATAATAAACATCAAAGTAGTGCACATAAGAGTTCAATCATGTTGACCGAGCAAGTGGAATGTTAAATTACCAAAAATAATGATGTTATTTTAAATATTACTACTCATTTAATGGTTTTACAATTATAATTAATAATTTGTACGATTTAATGAATTTTTGTCTATTAATTAGAATGACTAATGAATGCAATTCATAACAAATTAGTAGGCTATTTCTATGAAGGCTTTTATAAACAGATTGACAGGTATTTTGAAACATCCAAAATAATGATGATAGCATTTTAGTGTTTTATTAAGTTCTATTTTATTTTATTAGCAAGATAACAGTAGTGCTAGGTCCCGATAAGCATCATGAATGGTAACTTTGGGATCAATTTATGGATCAATACGATGAGTATATTTTTATCACATAGTTGTTAAATAACCAAACTATTCATATTTCTCTTATTATAAGCTTTATTTTGACCTATGAACCATTATTATACGTTTTACCATTCTTGAATTATGCCGTGTTTATTAGTCACTGCCTCCCACATTCACAGCCACATTTGGCCAAAGTTTATACAAATGTTATTTTCTATTTTATGGTAAGTTGTGGTCTGTTTGATTGGTATATAAACCAAGTATGTTTGAAATACATGATTCATATTGCAGAGGCTGAGATTGATGTTCTGGACTCAACTGGCTGAGCTAGGCGGAAAGCAGGACCAGTCAGGAATCTAGGCTGCTCGTACGTGTTTTACGTGTCCTTGGTTCGATCGATAATTCACTGTTCTCTAATTGGCGGTATCATTACGTTTCCATTAACAGGGCACTCAGACCACAAGTATAGCAAGTAGATTAATGTTATGAAAACATTGATTAATCATGAGATAGTAGTACCATTGTTTATAAGATTCTTGTCATTATTACTATTTCAACGAGCATCGTAGTAATACATTTACCAGTGGTCAGCATTCACATTGAATAGGCTAGCCGATTCGCATTCAGGAAATATAAACTTAATAAAATAGGTTTATTCTATTTATATGAGATTTGTAACACTAACGGTAGATTTATCAAGACAATCAGGATTAATTAATGGGATTGTAGACAAAAAGAGCGTGTCAAGAAAGTAAAATGAGTAGTTAAATGTCGATTGAATTCACTTGGTATAATTTACTTGGACTAGGACTGTAATTGATCAGTCTTTTATTGGCATATGTGCATACTGTGCGTATTGCCTCTATATTGTCTTATTGAAAAAGCATTATAAACAAAGATGAATTGTGGATAGCAGTGGAATCCAGGACACGCATTTCGTCCTATTTGAGACTCATAAGCTGGATGTACCTGCATCTCATATTTGATGTTCACTCTGGGACGATGGCGTTTGAAGCGAATGGTACTGAGTTCGAGTCCCGGAGTGGACATCAACTCTGAGATGCAGGTACATACAGCTGACGAGTCCAAAATAGGACGAAACGCACATCCCGGATTCCACTGCTAGCCACTATCCAACTTTGCTTATAAACATCAAATCAATTAAAAAAAGAAATCAGCCTTTTTCCTGAGAATACTATCGATAGTTAAAAGAGATCTATTCAAACAATTATGAAAAATTAGATTAGCACCGGCCTCAGATTATTTAAGTATATTAGCGTATATACCAAAAAGTCCTTAAAACAATATTTCACAAATAAAATGATTACAATTATATCCTACAAATAGTTGAGTGTTGTTGACAGGAACTAGTTAAATTAGCTATCACAATCTTAGGTTTCTATTAGATGAGTTTACAGTGATTCTATTATAAACTTTGATTATTACTGTGATGTAGACTGGGTAATCCCACTGGACAGTTTATTCTTGTATGGAACTAATCAGCATGAATTGTTTAATCACTTTTTCATTATAATTCTTAATTAAAATATACATAAATACTTTTTAAAAGTAATAATTTATCACAATTACGGGCTATCTATTTTCTGATATTCTTACCACTTGGTGAGATAAAGTAATGCGGATAACAGTCGTCGTTTTTTTCAAAATATAGGTCGTTAGTCATACCAACTGGGAACGAGATATCTGCTGTACTCTAATTTTGATCTTCCTGTATGATTATAAATGTTTTCTGTAACTTCAGATAGCTCAATATGAAAGAGTTCATTGGAAGATTATTGAAGGATTGACATAAAAATTGTCTATTTAATTTATTTATACATAACAAGCGGATAATTTTGACAGTATTGTTTATTCTGTCATTAAAGAAAATTCAAAATAATTTTGAAGTATTTAAGGTTAATTTTTAAAGCACAATAAGATCAATTTGTTGGTATATAGAAAATTCCAAAACCTTCCTATTGATGGAGTAACCGGTACCATTATGTTTTCCTGTAGTGCATGTTACAAGGTTGTATGTTGAGGTATTTAAACAACTGATCATTGTATTTTAAACATTTATGAAGACATGTTAAAATTGACTGCAAATATTTGTTTAATTCAGAAAACCAGAATTTGACTGTGTTTATTAGGCTATAAGCCAGTATGATTGGCATTGATATCAGAAATGTCTCAATTATCTTCAAACTCTAGTTGAACTAATCTACTCTATAATTACAACATTGATTGAGTCAAAGATATTTATCACTTTTTTCCGAACCAATTGAATCACTGAGATCTTACTGAAGTTTCTTTTTCTCAGAAACTAAATGTTAAACGTATTTTTTTTCAGAACTTTCCAATTCTTTTTATCTTAATGATTATGGTTTACCTAGAAGTATGATAAAAGAATGGTTCTTCAGTGATGAATGAATTATCTTTATTTTTCTGAATAAATTGTATACAAGTGAACATTTGGTGTTTTCAACAAGCTTTAAATAAGGTCATGCAGTTTTTTGTTTCGCTATAATTCTAAAAAATAAGATTTAATGAGATGTTTTTTTCTCTCTGTTCCCACACAAAGATTTTAGTTAGCTTACCAGAAATAAAGCCGTTGTTTTAATAAGATCTTCTTTTTGGAAACCATTAGATAAAATTTGTCTATATTCTTATGCCCTGCTGTCTTGTCCCATTGTGATATATACTTCCTATTATATATCAGGCCCATTATATGAATGAGAAAATTATTGAAGTAGGAATGTTTGGTTTTCAAACTGAATTATAATGTATACAAATAACCGATATTCATACATTTGTCCTCTGTGACTTAGATGATGACATGTAAGCTGAGATCATGGCTATGGCACAGTCTATTCCCTTAAATGAAAATTCTTCTATGTAATATCTTACCTATAAGTAAAAATTAAGATGTCCATGAATTCATTGGATAATGAACAGAGTGTTTATTTATTTATTTATTTATTTGAACACATAAATATTGGTACAAGAGGGCACCAAATATAAATGCACCACACAAATTTTCATTTTATTTGTTAGTGGGCTGTGATACTACTCGGGTACCCAGACCGAAGCAGGTGGTTTGCTTGGGGGGCCACACCCCGATGCTTCGACCTAAAGGTCTAACCCACAAGGCAGTGGAGCATCGTGAGCAGATGCAGTCCGATGGAAGCCGGTGACCAAGAAATTTATTCATACGCCGTTTGTTCCCGTAGGGTACTGGATCCCATGTACACCACTGGTTTGGAATCAGGGTTTTTCAACTCCCCTAGGCGGACTCTCCATGTCCACCGACCCGGTTAAAGCGCCGGAGATTCGCTTTTCGACCTCTCATTTTCATAAACAACACTCCTGTCACGAGAAGGCAGTGAGTAGGACTTTGCTGACAGAGGCTGTATACGCGTGGCCATGTGAGAGCATTTCGAGAAGGAGGGCGGGCCCACCCCACTCTCGGCCATATAAGGGCATTTGGGGGCAATGAACAGAGTGAGGACTAAAGACATATTGGTATTTCTTGGAAAATTATTTAAATAATCAGGGTATGAGAAAATGTATTCTCTGTTCATGAATATTTCAAAAAGTGCTAGAATTTAGATTATTAAATGTAAAAGTTTTGTTTATATGAAGATGTAATATTACCGCTCAGGATTGAATCACAAAGAAGATCTAGGCTTCAATCAATCAACTGTTCCACGTTACCTAACTTTCAACGGTTCGTCATAATATGATTACTTCATTATTTTAGACAAGTCAAAATCGCTTTTAACAAAAAATGATTCAAGTATGATTTATGTTGTAATCGTTTTTAAAGTATTGATTATATGATTATTCTGTCATTTCATGTAGCACTACACACTTGATAAAAAAAATTTCGGTTATTTTCTCTTTATTTAAAAATCCTTAAAAGCTTTAATCAGTATACAAATAATTTCTGCTTCCAATAATCTTAGCTTAGATTATACTTTTATCTAAGAAAATCATTATCTCAGCTCCAAGTATTTGTGACTTCCGATTCAGTGAACTGTAATAGTAGTCTATTACTTTGATTTATTTACTCCTTTATTAGCGCTTATGAGTCATAATGCTAAGGTATTGTTTAAATCGGCTGTTATTTCAAATTATACTACGTGTTACATGATAACAATATAACCAAGATATTAATTATGATTTCCTATGAAGTTCTGGATATTCATTGTTGAAGAGTCTGAAGCTAAGATAAAACAGTTTTCCAATGCTTACTGGTTTTAAATAGATCTCCAGTTAATTTTATACCATGAAATAAACTACATTCAAAGAGGAACTAATCATATTTCCTTTATCTTATCATATACCCTTTTTCAAATCATTTCTTATATTAACTTAATTTTTTATACGAGTTTGTTTTGTTTTTCAATATCAGATAACAAAAAGAATACCGTTGCAATTTATTCTTAAAACTTATATAAAATCTATAAAATAATTCAACGCTGGTAATCATAACATACTTATATAGCAAGCGATTCTCTGGGATTCGCTTATGAATTATAACTCTTATTCATTGGAAGAACTATTATTTTCAAGACTGTTGAAACTTGTTAGCACCAGATATATACTAGAAATAAAGATTGATTGCTTTAGAATCTTTAAATGTTCAATTCTGCAAAAACAGTATCGAAAATGTACAAAGTTAGAGGGCCTGTGGAGATTGTTCATTTTGACCAAAGTGGAATGCGACTGCTACTCTAATTAGCCCGATATCACGCCGACCATATTTTGATTTTTGGTGGTTGGAGGCAATTGGCAAGAACCTTTTTTATAGCAATGTGTAGTTGCAGTCTTACGGTAACGGATTTTACTTATGAAGTGTTACGATTTAAGGTTTACTACAGCTACATAGATATTTTTAAATATAACTTATCATGAAATTACAAATTTGTGTACTTGACTGTGCATCATAAGTGATGAGTTAACGTCAGTGGTACCAAATGGCTAATCGAACCTAAGTAACTCAATACAGTAAGGGGAGTTGTTGAGATTGTAGTATTTTTAACATTTAAATTCACGAGTTTATCTAAGTCAGACCACATTTGAAAACCTTGCGTCACTGGACAGCTGCTTCGTTTTAGTATGGGGCCCACATTCCTTCGTGTGGGACTCGAACCCAGGACCTCCAGTCTCGCTCGTGAACGTTTAACCTCTATAGTGCTGAATAGCCATCCAACGGTATTAATGTCTAACTTCGATCGATCAATGATCTACCTTAGATTGACTAGTGAATCCAATTGTTAAAAGTACTGTAATCTCCACAACTTCCTTTACTATGTGCTTACTAGTGACTAGCTTCAAGGTGGATTTCCTGAGGTTCTAAAGAGAAGCCATAACCATCGGTGTCTAATCAGTGTCGGGTTGAGATGGTTATTCACCTCAGACAACAGATCATGGGTCGATTCAAGTTAGACATTAACTAAATACGGTTACATACCTGTATTCCGGTGATCGAATGTTCAGAGCTTGAACCAGTAGCCATATACAACAATGTGTACAATTCGCTTTGTCACGATTTATGTACGCCACTTGAAAATAAAATAACAACTAAAGCTAAATGAAACTATAGATTGGATGTAGATTCCTTTGAACAGTTTTAAATCAATTCACACATTATCATAACATCTTATTTAAATAACAGTCAATTGTGGTATTATGAATTTGATCAAAATATTTAAATTATGTTTTTGATTGAGATCATGAATGGATTGATCTTAGACCACCATTGAAAACCTGGAAGTAGTGGACGGTCATTTCGTCCTATTATGTGGCTCTTCAGCAGTGAGCATCCATGGTCCCTCTCACGAGATTCGAACCCAAATAATTAGAATTGATTACCTCAAGTGGTGTTCGTCAGGGCTGTACACTATCTTCATACCTGTTTAACCTTATCGTAGGCGGAATTTTAGAGATGACACTTTCCACATCTGAATTTCGAGGGGTTAAATTTCTACCAGGAGATTCACTTGTTGACTTAGTACTATTTGGTGAAGACGCTGACAAAATGCAGAGTCCACTGACCACTATAAGCAACAATACAAGCATGTTTAGGATGCGATTCTCCCCATCAAAATGCAAAATGTTGCTTCAGGATTGGGTTGCGTCGACACCCGAACTAATGATAGGGAGTGAAGTAGTTGAGTATGTCGACTGCTTCACTTATCTTGGGAGTCTCATCTGCCCTTGTGGTTTGGTGTGTGACGAAATCTCAGCACGGATACAGAAGGCTCGACTAGCTTGTGCTAACTTACGTCATTTATGGCCTAGGTGAGATATTCATCTACCAACTAAAGGACGGGTTTACTGTCCAGCAGTTCGTTCCGTCCTACTTTATGGCTGTGAAACATGGCCAGTAAGAGTAGAGGGTATTCGTAGGTTACTAGTATTTGATCATAGGTGTCTTCGAAACATTGCTCGTATATCCTGGGACCACCGAGTAAGTAATGTAGTTGTTATGAAACGGGTACTAGGTAAGGATGGCAAATCAATTGAGGAAGTAGTGAAAGTTCATCAGTTGAGATGGCTAGGACATGTGTTACGTATGCCCAAACACCGACTGTCCCGAAGTGCGATGTTTCATGGTGTAGGAGTAGGTTGGAAGAAAGTTAGGAGTGGCCAGATCAAAACATGGCACAAATCCATGAAGTTACTGACAAATGGACTGAGTCATGTTGGTAGGTGTAGGCTACCTGGTTGGGATCCGCGAGATGATAGCAACCGATGGTTAGAGACTTTGAATGACATGGCTCAAAATCGTTTGCAATGGCGCAGGTGCATTCGCTCTTTGTGTTCTCCCTAACTCTAATCTTCTGACTTCTTCATGTTCCTTCCTTTATTCTCTTTCCAACTTTACTTCACTGTATTACACTCTTTGAATAACATCTTCACACCTCAATTTTTGCGATTACTGCTTATACTCTTACTACCTTTACCACTAAAGGATTTTAATCGACAATTGTATCTCTATGCTAATATGATATAGCAACTCGACCTGATGTACATATGTACGTACGAAATTCTACATTGTTACTAACTGACTGACTGATTAACCCAAGTAATGATCTAACATCAATCGATTCATGATCTTAATCAAAAACTTAATAATCTTCATAACTCCATATTGATATTTAAATGAATTTACTTTCTTTTTTTTAAAAAAAAAAGAACTGAGATCATTTAAAATGAGTACAAACTTAAATATTTATTTATATATTTGAATTTTTTTATTATTATAAAATGTACTTTGATCCATTCACCTTTTTTTTTTTATAAAAAAAATGGATCAACATCAATAAAAAATTGATAGAAATATTTAGATATAAATCAATAAAACGTTTTTGTTAGCATAATAACCAATGAAATAATTAGCTAAATATTTATTTTTTATATTTTTGGATTATTTAAATAAGATAAAGTATTAAAACGTGAATTAGTCGGATTATCAAAATCATCATCATCATTATTATTATTATTATTATCATTTTCATTATTATTTTGTTTATTTAAATTATATGTAATTTCAGAATTTTTTATATTCCAATTTTTATTTGAACTATCTACATAACTTAATGCAGATTGTGGTAAATCAGACATATAACGTGGTTCTGTATAATAATTTTGTTCATTTAATATAGAATTATGTGGTACTAAAGGTGGTGAACTAATACCCATTTTCTCTTCATCATTAAGTAATGTTTCATTTGTTTTTTGTTGATTAATTAAATCATTTAATTTCATATAAGTAATAAAACTTATTGTAAAACTAATAAATGTACAAATAAAACTTAAAACTCCAACAGCATAAGCCCATGATAATGTATTTAATTCAGGATAAGGCATCCAACGACTATCATATCTAGCTACAGCAAAAGCCACTAAAGCAGCAGCTAATGTTAAACCTATAATTAAGAAACAAAAGAAGAAAAAAAACACAATTTTGTTAAAATCAAGGGAATACATTGGATACATAAATGGATGTTATATAAAACCAATGAGTTAACTTGAATTCCAACCGTTTGGTGTTACCTTAATGAAGTGGTCGGTCTTGCCGATCATTATGAATCAATCGGGCTATACTGGCTGGAACAATTGTTCCTGAAGGTTCTACCATGCCAGACAGGTTGGTTGAAGAGCGGTAAAACTAAAAGCAACAAACGCAAGGTCCGAGGGCGAAGTCGTACTACTAACTGTACAGAGATGTGTAATGCCTACCTACAAGTGCATTTGGGGCTACCAGTATTCGCTGGTAAAAAAAGTGTCTATTGTATTCTGTTTTTCACTGGTTGTTAGTTGATGTGAACTCATAATAAAACCTATTCCTTATACATCAATAAGTTATGATTACGGTAATGTCGGTTTGTCAGCAGCCGGATATTAACAATCTACTTACGTTCTGTAGTCCTATGAAATCATTAACACTTTTCCAACGTATAAACAGTCAGCAATGTAAAAGCAAGAGACCAACAACTAATGGGAAGTTTCAGTGTCAAAATCTAAACACTTGCATTGTTAACTTAGACAAGAGCATGTAAACTGTAACTTCGACTTGATGAATAATTTACTTGGGTACAAATTGACATTCTGCTTCTCTCTTTTGTATACTGTGCCAATGAAATAGCACATAATCTGTCCAAACCTGCTGGGTTTACTACTGTCGATTTTGGATCTCAACGGTTCAGGAGACAGAATTCGGTAAGGGGAATAGTTATCGAGAAGGTACTGGAAACGTTTAGTGGACTCGGTACCCAACAAATTGGCAATAAATTCATGCTGCGCTCTATCTACTTTTGTCTTTACAGACAAGCACCACCACTAGCTGTCAAACCTGACATTTGACTAAAATCCGAGTACAAAAGCCTGTACTTGGTGAGCTACACTGATGAAGGTGAAGACAGTTTTATATTGATACTTTTAATAAATATACTCTGCGATGTAACATACAATACTGTGGGTGTTATATCTAACAAGCGAACTAATATCACTTGTCATCAATGGCTAGTTTGACTTTTAAAATACGTCTTCATATCTGAATTAACAGAGATAAAGTTTGAATGTGCTACTTAAAAATGTAGCAAGGTTTTATAATGCAACTGGGATGAGCCTAACCAGATTTCCTGTTTGTTAAAGCTTACCAATAAGTTGTATTTATAACATTCAGTTGATCGAAATTTTCACGAAGATTCAAACTTATCCACCAGTCCTGTAGTTAGGTCCCTCATCACTCATAAATACTAACAATTTTTTCCTCCAAGTTATTCACATTTGTTCACCACATATTTTTCAAATAGTCAGCAGTGAAAAAAAAGTTTTCGTTTTGTTTACATTGACAAGGATGAGTGAAATAATTTATGCTAAACTCATCAACGGTTATTTGAGAAGTTGTAGAGACAACACATTATTAGTTCCAAAATATTTTGATTGTATGAGTACAGTATATGAAACATGACAAAGAGTAATTAATTATTGATGTTTATTTCTCAGCTCTAACTCAATTCCATAGATATGTAGAGATTTTAAACTATGTGACTCAAAAGTTAGATAGACAACAGCATTCAACTACCTAAAGATTCAATGGTGAATTCGTTTATACGCTATAACCTAATTGTATAGTTTATTATAAATGATTTTAAGAAATTTATAAATGAACTAGCACTATTTTAAGTTCACATCGTCTTGAGGTGGAGGTAGAAAATGAGGTCATATGAGGTGTGATAACAACAGTATACATCGACTTTACTTGTAAATTTGATTGGATATTTAAACTGTTTTTCTTCATTATTTGTTTTTAGAACATAAAGACACTTGGGTAGTAAATGATCGACTAGTTTTCAGTTTCTCATTTTAACAGGTTAACAAATGAAATAACCCGATTTATACGCGTGTTTTGAAATGCTTAATAAAGTTGGATCTGTAGTTACTTCAGTGAATAGTTTCGGTGTAATCATATGTTGGCACTCAAGACAATGGAAGTCATATAAACTGAAAGACTGGTTTGACTTATTTTTACTACACAAATCAAACTACTTACTATTATGTAAGTATACACTGTCAAATGAACGAAAAGTAAAATATGTGTGAAGGGGTATTTTAGCTTTCGTATTCATGTCTATTAGACAAAATTATTGAGAAACAAAACACTAGGTTGCTTAGAAAGAAGATCAGTAACTTAGCGTTCATCATCGGATGAGGGCCGAATGAAGAATACGTTAAAATAATCTATGTGTATTTATGTTTACTTTTAAATAACATGCTAATACATAAGATGCCAATGGACGAGCGAGAGTAAAATTACGTACTGTTTTCCATCTCTAAATCAAAAACGGTTAGTAGGACTAATATATTGATTAGCGAAAATCAGTGTTTAAAGCTCGAAGTATTTCATACAGTTTGAGAAATGAAGTTTTACGATTACTAAATATTCTCTTCAATATAGGTATATGACATTTAAGTTAGTGAACAGCGATTATAGAATTAGTAGTTAAACAAGCAACTAAGAGAAAGCTGATGAATAATGATACTGCCATCAACCAAACGAAAAGACTTAATAATTGCCACTTTTCTTGGATAAATTTATTGTTCTATGCATTAGTAAATAGCAAATGTTAATGCAAGTATGCTTGTTGATTGATTTTGTTATACTCGATTAATTGGCATTATCATAAATTATAGTCCTATATGTATATATGATAGAACAGCCTTAATAATAAGGTCGCCGAGAACAGATCTTTCTCTTGGGCTCGATTCTTGTTTCCAGGTTAAGCTACATTCATTTAAATTTACTTTCTACACATAATTTTGAAAAAGTACATTTAGTTTGTCTTAAGTATACTACATTTAGTGCTGGTAATAAAAAATAATGTCTTTGCTTATATTGACGTCGTAGTTTCAACTTCATTTATTTTTGTTTAGCTCCTTTTTTGCTATACAGTGCTCTTAGGTTTTCAAAGATTGTCTAACTTAGATCAGTTCGTGCTTTGAGTGAAATTCAAAAATCTTCACAACACTACCGACAATTCCAGCATTACCCAAAAATAATTAACTCCAGTTTTCCCAAACATTTAAGTCGCCTACCTTTCCAATTGCACAGATATTACAAATAGACTGTTCCAATCTTGTTTGAACTAACTAAAGTACAACGGTACTTGTGCGCTACCATAAAATGGTTAAAAGTTACTGTGATACTGAATACTTGAAAATTCAAACAGGAATAATGTAGTTCTTGACAAGTTTCCATTCTTCTCATTTTTTTCTTTATTATAATGTGAAATATATTTAAGCACCGGTAAGACTACGATTTATGGACGATATTTAAGCAACATCATTGATGAACACGGTGGATCTGATGCAGATGTGAAGGCACGGATCGGCAAAGCAAGAGCAGCATATTTACAACTGAAGAATATCTGGAACTCAAAACAATTAGCAACCAACACCAAAGTCAGAATTTTCAATACAAATGTGAAGACAGTTCTACTGTATGGGGCGGAAACCTGGAAAACTACGAAATCCATCGTCCAAAAGATACAGGTGTTTATTAACAGTTGTCTACGCAAAATACTTCAGATCCGCTGGCCGGACACTATAAGCAACAACCTACTGTGGGAGAGAACAAATCAGATCCCAGTGGACGACGAAATCATGAAGAAGCGCTGGAAGTGGATAGGACACACATTGAGGAAAGCACCGAACTGCGTCGCAAGACAAGCTCTCACATGGAATCCTCAAGGTCAAATGAAGAAAAGAGGAAGACCAAAGAACACATTACTCCGAGAAATGGAGATAGACATGAGAAAAATGAACAAGAATTGGATGGAACTAGAAAAGAAGGCCCAGGACAGAGTGGGTTGGAGAATGCTGGTGGGCGGCCTATGCTCCATTGGGAGTAACAGGCGTAAGTAAGTAAGTAAGTAAGTAAGTAAGTAAGTAAGTAAGTAAGTAAGTAAGTAAGTAAGTAAGTAAGTAAGTAAGTAAGTAAGTAAGTAAGTAAGTAAGTAAGTAAGTAAGTAAGTAAGTAAGTAAGTAAGTAAGTAAGTAAGTAAGTAAGTAAGTAAGTAAGTAAGTAAGTAAGTAAGTAAGTAAGTAAGTAAGTAAGTAAGTAAGTAAGTAAGTAAGTAAGTAAGTAAGTAAGTAAGTAAGTAGTAAGTAAGTAAGTAAGTAAGTAAGTAAGTAAGTAAGTAAGTAAGTAAGTAAGTAAGTAAGTAAGTAAGTAAGTAAGTAAGTAAGTAAGTAAGTAAGTAAGTAAGTAAGTAAGTAAGTAAGTAAGTAAGTAAGTAAGTAAGTAAGTAAGTAAGTAAGTAAGTAAGTAAGTAAGTAAGTAAGTAAGTAAGTAAGTAAGTAAGTAAGTAAGTAAGTAAGTAAGTAAGTAAGTAAGTAAGTAAGTAAGTAAGTAAGTAAGTAAGTAAGTAAACAAGCAAGTAAGTATTTAAGCAACGCTAAAATAGCCCTAGAATGTTCACCTACTTAATAGGGCTGAATGAGGGTTATATATTAGTATGAGGAATTAGGATTAGGATTTACAGTTGAACGTTATATTTAAGAATTAGGTTTAATGTTTTTATCACGAACTGACATCAGCTATAGTGCTGAAATGGTATTTAGCCAAATGAATGAATAAATTTTGAGCCAAAATGCAAGATCTGCTATCTTAAATCTGATCGGTTCATCCATAATCTCGCCTACAGGTATGAAGTTAAAGCAATCATGACCGAATTTCGTCAATTTCTTGGTCAATTAAAAAAAACGGCTTTAGTGAGTTGATAGTTTATAGAAAAAAAACAAAAATATTATAGTGTAAACAGATTTCATCTAATTATTGGAGCTGTTAAAATTACCAACTAGTGACTTAGCCTATAAGTCGAAAAAGCAACAGGATATAAACCTGGTCTTATTGATATAGATTATCTATCTTCCATAGCCTTATAGGGACCCAAATACATTTTTAAGCATCCTCATACTGTCATCGGTTAGAGTCAGGATCAAGGGTTCAGAGCTTAGGTTTTCACTATCAACTGACATAAGCTATCATGGAAAAGTGTTCTATAGATTTATGGTTGAGTGATTTACACCCGAAAATTTAACAGTTATCTTAATCTGACTGGTTCACTCACTGTAGCTAAGTTATATGTTATGTTTCGGTAATAAGGGCTTACGATCAAGATATTCAGTTTGTTTTTTATTAGCTATTGCACACAATCTGTATGGAAAAAACCAAGTATTTTATACGTTTAATACTGTCGATTTTGTTCTATGGCATCAAGGAATAATTTTGTGTTATCATCGCAAACATCCTGAGCACTATACAGAGGTAGTCCTATTGCTTGTTTAACATGATGTAAGGTAGAAGTCATTCATTTTCTAATTTTGTATCAAAACCTAACAATCGTTTTATCAACTTTGATTGACTTGTCTCTATACTACACTTTTACCATGATTCTTAAAATATGTTTGCATTATTTAAAACTTGAATATATGTTGAAGAGATATTTGTTGTAATAATGTGCAACGGGCGCTGAGAATTCTTTACTGTAAAAAAGTTGATCCTATTGAATAAACCTATCATTGTTACTATTGTTGTAGTATGTACTATTGTAGTAGTATATATCATCAATCGAACGTGAAATGCTTGGAGGTAGAAGATTAAGAAAAGAGAACGACAACAAAAAATGATTAGTGTGGGAACGAAAGAACAAAGAAGTCTGAAACAATTGACTGATATTTGTAAAGGAACAGTCAAGTTTAAGACAATTGATTGATATTTTGCAAATCAAGTATTCACTGTAAGGTCCTCAGATTTTACTAAGATATTCTGTAATTTTGTATTTAGATACATTCGATTGTCCCCACTTGTGTTCTCGTTCCCGACACTATAAGTTCGTTCTTACAAAATTGCAATGTTTGTTTTCAACTTAGAATACTTCAAAAGTTTGTTAAAAGCTATACACAACTCTTATATCTTACGCTTGGAACAAACTGTTTGCAATTTCACTAACATTTAAACTGTTTGGGTGGGTATTTTATTTTAGTTGTGGAGTAGTTAAAAAGTAGCGCGATGTCAATGAAACTACTTTTCTTAGTTTTTCATAAAGATATACTAAATGACTACACTGACAATTTATTTCTTAGTAAAGCATTACTAATCATCGTTACTTCCTAACCAGTTTTATTTGAGTAGTCAAAACTCACTACCTGACAAATGTATTTTCATTTCGATTCTCTTTTCTAATCTATACTACTTTTCATATTTGGTAGAACACTTTGTCAGTGTGCACTTCAGTCGCTTATGTTCAGGATCACGATCTAAATCAGAATAAGTCTAAAAACAAAATTACCCAGTCTTTTCTCAACCTTTGGTTTCACAGTTACACCCTATCACTGCACCTTCAGTAAATAATTTCTTACTTCACTTCATAATAGGAGGGTTCCTGCCAATACAAAATTCAAGTTGAACTATCACTAATGACATTATTATTAGACCAGTATTCATTTAGAATACAGAGCTAATATGAATACATCATTTCAGAGTTCTGGTATTTGAAAACATATGTACTTTTCAGTTATTTTATGATCTCAATTCAAAATTAAATCCTTCCTTTGCTCACTTACGGCAGTAAATAGTGTATTTATACTATAAATTCAAAACAAACAATACTTACATTTACATGTTTGGTTGGTTAAGGTCAATAGATAATTATAGGCGTGAATATCACAGATGTTAACAGTTTTTTTAGAAAAAACTTTTTTCAATAGAACTCTATATTTTTCAGTTGAGGGTTGTGGAGATTGTTAAGTTTTTGATTGAGATCATGAACCGATTGATGTTAGACCACCATTGAAAAACTGGAAGCACTGGACGGTCGTTTCGTTCTATTGTGTGACTCCTCAGCAGTGTGAATCCACGACTTCGCTCGCGGGATTCGAACCCTATTTGGACTCTATATTTTTATTGAATAATAAATGTTTTGTATAAAATTACGCGTTATATTTCACCCAGTTAATAATATGACCGATTTAGTTCATTCTTCTCATTGAAGTCATTAGATGAATAAAATGAGCACAGATCAGTAGTTTACTTTTCTCTTGTTTTTAAATAACCCTTGAGATCTTACGAACAACCTAAAAGAGAAACGATTTTTTTACCGGTATAGGGTTGTAGCTATGATTAAGTTTTTGATTGAGATCATGAATCCAGCTAATCCATTTTAGGTAAAAACAGGTATCTATCTCGGTACAATGGAAGATACTCGCGCAATTTCGTGGACTGGTTGAGGTTGGACACTAACACTGTTAGATGCCGGCTCAGTGGTCCAGAGGTTAAGCGTTCGCGTACGTATAGTGCTTCTAGGTTTTCAATGATGGTCTAACACCAATCAATTCATGATTTCAATCAAAAAGAAATTTTATCGTTGAATTTTGCGTAATATAAACATCTGAACGTGAATTTTTCATAGCCAAATTAATTTTGGTTAAATGAGTGTCTACTTTTAGATCCTATGTACGGTTATAAAATACTGAACCTAGAAGTAAGATCACTAGTCAGTTAGTGAGTTTCACAACAGAAAGTATTGTTAATACGCTTTTATCTTCTTGGTGAAGCATAAGCACAGCCAAACACAATTTATCTCATAGCAGACACGTTGTAATGTTAATGAAACCTGTTTTTTTAACTAATTATTATAAACCACGTTGCTTATCTTTGGCAAATGATCTGGTAGTAAATCTCTAACCACTACGTCTACAGTCCAAAAGTAATCTATCTAATGTGTAATCAGGTAGTAACTGTACGATTTAATTTCAGTTTCAGATACAAAAACGTCACATATTACTTACTTGTGAAGAAATGACCTGACGCGATAAATTTTAGACTTTTGAGGTCAGATTTAGAAATCGCACCGGTTACTTGACACAGGACTATAAACGTTACCAAAAAATGTACCAAAACTCCACATGATGAAGTAACTTGTATTGTATATAACCATACTGTCAATTTATTAAAAAAAGAAATGTAAATAATAATTAACTGTCAGCGTTTGATGCGGAAAAATTATTTAGTTATAATTAAAAAAGTGTAGAACAATCCCATAGGGAATTAAAGTTCAAACATGATAATCACTCAATCTTATCATAACAAACGTTGAAATCCAAACCTTATACAGTTTCTGATGAAATCAAGATAGACCTCACGATAAAAGTGTACCAATTTCACTTTTAGAAAAGTGTAGCCTGTTTTGGATTTATCATGCGTAACTTTACTTACTTTATAATATTTTTGTCGATAGCTAAGATTTACAAATATTGCATAGCTCTAGAAAACGAGGACACAACTGATTAGTACCGATCTTCGAGACGAATAAACTATCTTATAAACTGATGAGCATAGTTATACCTAACGAAATATCCATATCACAACGAACGTTAACTGTGTATATCTAATCACTGTTTTCTAGCTCTTAAGCGACTGATTCGAAGAGAGATGAGGATAAAAAAAGCCTTTAATGAAAAAAGATAGGTTAGCTTTGATAACACTTGTGGTCAACCTGGATTATATTGTGAATTTTCAAACACAATAGTCCGTTCTTTACATATTTAGTGAGTAGATGTAACCCAGTTTTCGCATGGAAAATATATTTCTCAGTTAGTGATCTAGTTGAAAATTCAAATCAGCATTTTATAACCGATTAGCTTGCTTTAAAATACCTATGCTTGTTTACGGACCTGATAATATACCAGCTGAAGTACGTAAGTCAGACATATAGGTAACTGCGAACATGCCCCACGATTTATTCGGAGATATTTGGGAACAGAAACAAGTGCTGACAAACTGGAAAGAATGACACCTCATCAAGATACCAAACAAAGAGCGAACGTGGAAACTACAGAGGCATCAGGCTGCTTTCAGTTCCAGGAAAGGTTTTAAACAGAGTGTTACTGAACCTGATGAAAGACTCAGTAGACGCTCCAATTCTTGATCAGCAGGCTGGATTCCGTAAGGATCGGTCGTGCACAGACTAAATCACAACTCTACGAATCGTCATTGAATAATCAGTTGAGTGGAGCTCGTCACTATGCATCAACTTCATTGACTATGAGAAAGCGTTTGACAGCATGGATAGGAGAACCATATGGAACTTTTCTCGACACTATGGTGTGAGATGAGTAAATCGTCAACGTCTCCCGAAATTCATACGACGCACTACACTGCAAAGTGGAGCATGGCGGACAGCTGACAGATGCATACCAAGTGAGGACCGGTGTCAGACAAAGCTGTTTACTCTTTCTCTTCATTATAGTGGTTGATTAGATTATGAAGACCCCCCTTCCATAACAGAAGAAGCACGGAATACAATGGACAGATTGCATGCAACTAGATGACTTGGACTTCACAGATGACCTAGCTCTTTTATCCCATACACTCTAATATATGCTGGTCGAGACAGTCAATGTAGCAGAAGCCCCTGTATCAATGGGCCTCAACATAAACAAGGCAATCTGCAGAAGGTTTGAATACCGCGATCGAATAAACTCAGGATGAGTCTCTGTTTAGCTTATCAATAACTGAATCACCACGCTATGTCAGCCTCATCGGTTAGCGCCTTCAACAAAAAGCTGAATCTTCACTGTGAAAAGAGCCGCAAGTATTAAAGCCGAACAACCGGCCTACCACTTTTATAGCTTAGTATTATTGGAGTAAGTACTGGCCAGCCCGTTGGACCTATATTTCTGCTACTTAAAAATCTTATTCAGGTAAACCCTAGCTTAGCTCACATTAGACTTACATAAGTTGAAAGTAGGAAGGCATTAATGTTACCAGTGAAAATCTATTTTGTTTCTCACCGAACTTGTGGAGTCCTTACCTGTGAACTCACATTTGAAGGTTGTATATTTATACTCAATGTCATCTATCGTAGCCAATCTGCTTAGTTGATGACTTTATTTTTGGGCTCATTATAATATGAAGTAAAAATAACATGTCTGATATTAGGAGATTTTAATAGACGTGATACTAGTTGGACAGAGATGTTCGCCATAAGAAACTCTTTCAGCAGTATTCTCTTGATGAATGTAATGAACTAAGCTTTAGTACAGTGTGTATTCAAACCCAAAAGTCTTGGTTTAAACCAAGAATCTTTTTTTAGACTTAGTAATCACTCATGAGACCAGAGATATTGCCTATATAAATTTTTCCCCTGACCGTTGTTGCTACCTTGACGTGGTGGTCGGGCTTGCCTATCGTGATGAAGCAACTGAGCTATACTGGCTGGAACAACCGTTCCTCAAGGTCCTACCATGCCAGACAGGTCGGTTGAAGAGCGGTAAGACTAAAAGCAACAAAACCAAGGTCCGAAGGCGAAGTCGTACTGCTGACTGTACAGAGGTGTGACAGCAGTAAGGTGTTTCCTTCAGACAACCAGCATGACAGCGATGCTGCCTTCCCACAAGGAGGGGTGGGGTTAGAAAAGGTCGACCCTAAAAATGCACACCTCGCCTTATCCCACGGATATCCGTCTCCGGCGGTAAGGACTCAACAAGTACGGAGCTAACACAAAAATCACTCATAAAAAGGTCGTGTGTGACCGACCTCAAGCAGCTGTCCCTTGGGCACTGCGGTCACGCTCTCAGGTCACAATGACCAACTCTAATCCAATTTCCTTTTCAGGTACCTCCAGAAGAACCCTTCCACGGTGTGGGCAACCGGGAAGTGATAACCGCCCTCATACCTCTAACAGCACTCAAGACCACTGTATTCATAGTCAACCTCCCTCTTCAATTCCTATTATTCCTCCTACATCGACTTTATACACTAAACTTCCTCTATTAGCTTCCTCCTCAAGTGTCACCACAGCCAACGATTCTAATGCTCAAAACACTGTCCCAGGTCTACTGAAACCTCGCTCCAAACTACACATTGGAGCCTTCAACGTACGCACACTATGCCAAATCGGTCAGCAGGCTTCCTTGGCTAAAACCTTAGAATCTCGTACCATTGATGTATGCTGTGTCTCCGAAACACGCATACAGGATCCTAGTGTGGTCATTCACTTGACCTCACCTCGGCAAAACGGAGAGCCAACGAGATACACCCTCCGTGTATCTGGCGACCCGATGGCTAGTTCTCGTGGACTGGCAGGTGTAGGCATAGCACTTAGCATGAGGGCGGAACAAGCGCTATTAGAATGGATCCCCGTTAACAGTCGTCTATGCGCTGTTCGGCTAAACGGCTCGGTAAGAACTCGGAAGGATAGGGACACACGTCGTTGCCTTTTCGTCGTTTCTGCCTACGCTCCCACTGACTGCAGTTCGGATGAAGTGAAAGATGAATTTTACAGAATGCTGTCTGAACTTCTTCAGAAAGCTAAACGTTCAGACATAGTACTCGTAGGAGGTGACTTTAATGCCCAGGTAGGTAGCTTAAACAAAACAGAAAGACATTTAGGTGGGTATTTTAGTATTCCGGCACAGCGAACAGATAATGGTGATCGTCTGCTGCAACTGTGCTCAGACAATCGTTTATTTTTAGCAAACACAAATTTTAAGCATAAGGAGAGACATCGTCTAACATGGCGACCCCCTGCACCAAACCAACGATGGACTCAAATAGACCATATTGCCATCAGTCATCGTTGGAGAGGGTCAATAGAAGATTGTCGCTCATTCTGGGGTACCTGCTTGGACTCTGATCATGCCCTAGTACGAGCACGCATCTGCTTGCGCCTCACTGGACGCAAAAGAGCCACACAAAAAAGACTCATTAGAACCGAATTGAGTAATGAGAAAGCCAAAAGTAGGTTCCAGGAACAACTGAGGTCACACTTAGGTAGTTCTGAAAACGAGACTGACCCAGATGTTGCTTGGAAAGTTATACAAGCAGCTGTGGAAACAGCAGTGACATCTACTAGCGATTCAAACCACAGGGTTACAAAGAACCAATGGATTTCGTCAAGGTCTATTGCACTGATAGATTCTCGCAAACTCATCCCATCAGGTTCTGAATACGATGAAGAGCGTAAAGAAATCAGATCTAGATTAAGCAAAAGTCTAAAGAATGATCGTGAGCAGTGGTGGGCAACGAAAGCAAAAGAGATGGAAAAGGCGGCGGCTATAGGGAATACAAGACAACTCTACAGACTAATAAAAGAAACTGGAATTAATAAATCAAGTGTAAGTCAGACCATTTCGGAAAAAGACGACACTCTCATCTGCTCCCAGTCCAGACGCTTAGAACGATGGGCGGAACACTTTAAGGAGCAGTTTAGCTGGCCTTCAGCTACTCTACAACTACCCTCTATTCCCAGACAATGTGAATGGAACATTGAAGTAGGTCCCCCAACTCTAGCTGAAGTTCAAAAGGCTATAGCTAATCTGAAACGAGGACGGGCAGCTGGTCCAGATGGATTGGCCCCAGAGGTCTTTAAGGATGGTGGTCTAGTCTTAGCGATTAGGTTGACTAATATTTTAGCTAAAATCTGGGAGTTAGACGTTATTCCATCTAACTGGTCACAATCACTTATCGTCCCAATATTTAAGAAAGGGTCAAAATCATCCTGTGACAACCACAGAGGGATTAGTTTGACTAATATAGTATCTAAAATACTAGCTTCGATAATTTTCGGACGCCTAACTAAAACTCGTGAGCTGCAAACACGTGAAAATCAGGCTGGCTTCAGACCTGGTCGTGGCTGCATCGACCACATATTCACCATTCGTCAGGTTCTAGAACACAGGCATACTTATCGGCGTCCGACAATGGTGGTATTCCTTGACTTAAAAGCAGCGTTTGACTCTGTTGACCGAGAGGTTCTGTGGCAGTGTCTGTCATTGAAAGGCGTACCTCAGAAGTACATAAACCTTGTGAAGGCTCTTTACTCGAACACTACTAGTCGGGTCAGAGCCTATGGCGAACTGTCATCTGCTTTTGCAACCTCAAGTGGCGTCCGTCAAGGCTGTCCACTTTCTCCTTTTTTGTTTAACTTTATCATAGACATCCTGATGGAAATAACGCTCTCATCGACTGACTTCTCGGGTATTGATCTCCTACCAGGAGGTCCACTTATTGACTTGGAATACGCAGATGACATAGTCCTGTTTGGTGAAGACGCTGACGAAATGCAGAGTCTTTTGTTAGCACTGAGCAACAATGCCCGATTGTTTGGGATGCGCTTTTCTCCCTCTAAATGCAAGTTGTTGCTTCAGGACTGGTCTGCATCAACACCTGAACTAAGGATAGGGGGTGAAGTAGTCGAACGCGTTGACAACTTCACTTATCTTGGAAGTCTGATCAGCCCTAATGGGTTGGTGTCTGACGAAATCTCAGCACGGATTCGAAAAGCTCGCTTGGCCTTTGCCAACTTACATCATCTATGGCGAAGGCGAGATATTCGTCTATCAATTAAGGGACGAGTATACTGCGCGGCAGTTCGTTCCGTCCTTCTATACGGCTTTAAGATATTCGTAAGTTACTAGTATTTGACCACAGGTGCCTTAGAAATATTGCGGGTATCTGCTGGGATCACCGGGTAAGTAATAGTGAGGTTAGACGCAGGGTATTAGGGAATGATGGTAAATCAGTTGATGAGGTTATGAATCTTCATCGACTGAGATGGTTGGGCCACGTGTTGCGTATGCCTGAACACCGATTACCACGACGCGCAATGCTGACTAGTGCAGGGGATAATTGGAAGAAAGTTAGGGGCGGCCAAACCAAAACGTGGCATCAATGCTTGAAGTCACTAACTTCTGGTCTGAGTCATGTTGGGAGATTCAGACTGCCTGGTTGGGGTCCGCGTGACTATCGTAACCAATGGTTGGAGACTCTTGGTGACATGGCTCAGAATCGATCACAATGGCGTCGGTGTATACACTCTCTGTCTTCCTTAAATTAAGAGATTAAAATCGCTTCATATCTGTCTAGGAACTAATTCTTTCTTCCTGTACTACCTCCATATACACAATCTTTCTTCTATATATTACCACCACTGAATTAACTACTCCTATGAATCCGGTGTTCATCTTGTTGTGCTAATGCGGTATGGCAACTTGGACCGATGCATATACGTGCCTGGTCCTACGTTGCAGCTGACTGACTGACTGACTGATATAAATTTTTCCCACTGTTAGCAAATAGCGATCATGACGCTTTTTCATTCATTTTTAGGGCTCGTGATATAGTATATAGCCTGGTTGGACCTCGCTAAAATGTGTAGAGAGCAAACATAACAGCCGAACAAAAGTGCGTGGCAACAACAGACTGGTCAGTAAATACCAGATCATCAATTGAAGGAATATGGTATATATAAAGAGGTACACAGCCTTGTTACCTCATCATTTATACAGTTCTTAATACCACGTAGGCTTAATAATTGCTCACCGCGGATAACTAGAGAGGTCAAAAAACATCCCGAACGTAAAAACGCACCAGAATATGTCATTCTCTACAGGTTTTGAACAGTACAGACACACCTATTGTAGGACTGGAGACACATTCAAAGAGTTGATAAGTAAGGCTAGAAAACTGGTCATGGATTGCAAAAATATTCTGAAAACATTGATCTCATAAATAAAGAAGCAAATTCAGAAAGGTGGTGCAATGCGACCACTTTTGGTACCAAAAAATTCATTGATATTGTCAAGAAATTATATTACAAAAGCTGAATCCTTATCAAAATATTTTAGTAGTGTTTCTCACAGATGATAATAAAAAATCAACAATTATTTATAATAATGGTGGCTGGTCGACAAATTGTCCGGTTATTGAGAAAGAAGCTGTCTTACGGTCACTTTGACATCTCAAGTCAGGTAAGTTCGGTGGTCCTGACGGTATTCATCCTAGGTCTATAAAAGCCCTGGAGGATGTAATTGCTGAAGCTCTGGAAATATTGCTTGATGTCTTTGGGGGGAATCTAAACTGCCAAGAGACCAAAAAGACGCTTATAAAGCAGGGAGTAGAAACGTGGTTAGTAATCTTCGATCTGTCAGTCTAACCAGTTTAGTTGTCAAACCTATGGAAAAGATTGTTGGGATAGCTATTCTAAACTATGCGGAAGAAAATTATCTTTTAGCCAGGTAGAAAAATGGTTTTAGAGAAGGCCTATAATGCTTAGCAAATCTGCTCATTGCAAGCAAATATCGGGTTGTAGAGAAAGATAAAAATATTCCGGTATATGCAGTATTCATATGTCTAAGTAAAGCCTTTGACAAGGTCTCTCACCTTGGTTTTAAACTAAAACTTAGAAGTTTCGGGATCCATTATGAAATCATGAGCTGGATAAGTGACTTTCTCAATGGCAGAAGACAATTAGTACGGTTTAACGAAAATCTGTTGAAAGTATGTTTTCCCAACTACGATTCTCAGTCCCCTTCATTTTCTACTCCGTGTGAATGACTTACCAACTCTATCAAAGTCATCTGTTTTTCTCTTTGCAAATTACATAAAGATTTGGGAGATCTGTAAACAGTATGTCAGACAGAATAATATTACAGGATGATCTAAATTTACAGGTCAAATGAATAGGTAAATGATCATTAGAAGTTAACTCTAGCAAGGGTGTATTGATGCAAATATATAACTGAGATTACTTATATCACTACAAAATATATGGAGTTGTGTTGCCTAAAGTAATGGACTATAAAGACTTATGAATCACAATAAGAAACGACCTCAAGACTAAGAGTAACTGCAAGGCTGCCGCTGCCAAAGGCTTAAGGGTCTTATGAACCATTCGTAAGTCGTTTCATTGTCTGAACGAAAAAATATTCAAAGTATTATACCCGACTTTCGTGAGACCACATTTTGAATATGGGATCCAAGCGGCGAGTCCTTATTTTAGGTATGGGGCGGATATGCTAGAATGAGTGGTAAACAGTTTGAAGATGCCAAAACTATTTGGAGTTTGACAACACCTTAACCAGTAACACCTTCTATATCCAAAACTTGCACACCCAGTGAAGTCATAAGCCAGAAGCGACTGATCTAAACTGGCTAGAGGTTGTAGAAGTTGAGCACAGCGTTCCCACTCGTGATCTGGTGCGGATGAGTCACCGAGAGAATTCAGCTAGATGAGTCCGTTAAAAACGATATGGTCAGCATTAAGTGTCGTAGACTTACAGAGTTATCGATTTGGGGGGTTTATTAACCGCAACAGGTCTCACTGGCCTATCTTGTGAAGACAGACTGAGACACCTCAACGTATTTCTGTTGTCTTACCGCACGTTACGGAGTGATCTAATACCAACTTCCCGTACACTAAACGATGAATTCGGTTCTAATATGTCTTATGTTTTTTTTCTATCTAGGACTGATCATCTGGGAGAATATTCTATGAAAGTTAAGACACCGAGATGAAACCACTGGAGTTCCGTTTCTCACACTAAGTGATGAATTACTTGAATTCTTCAGCAAAACACTAATATCTGAACCTGTTGATACGCTAAAAGCGAAATTACATCTTCACAGCACAACAAATTTTAAGGATTAATATAGGTTTATTGACACACAACCCCTACACCGATTACTGAAGATTGAAATAAATAATAGAAAATTCGGGCCTCCTCTGTTAACTATCATTTACAATTGATTACATTTACTATGATATGACGAGGGTGATTATGATAAAATCATCTTATTCGAGTAGTCATCGATGGTAGTATATACTACTTGTTTATTTGAAAAAAATACATCATAGAACATACAACACTTACTTGGATTTAACCAATCTCTTATACGGTCATAGATCACATAATAAATATAGTAGCATCCGAAATATGCCTTGTCGTACAACGCCGGTCGCATATAACCATCAAAACAAACAGTCCAAAGACCTATTCTCTGGAACTGGCTGTTAGCCTCTGGAACTGATTGAATCCAGTAAGGTGATACAAATGAGATAAAGTTTGAACAAAATCCGAAGGTGGTAAAAAACACTGTGCACGAAAACAAACGTTTATTTTCCATCATCGGGAAGCATATTGAATAGTCGCTGCTTTAAATAAACAGCGTTAATATATTTAAACTAAAAGCACAGAAAGTTGTATCTCATAGTTTTCAAGATGACACTACTCAGGCAACTCATAACAAAGCTCTCACGTTAAAATAAAAAGATGATGCTGTTGGCTTTATTTTTAGGGATGCAAATTGAGATCTCAAGGCTAACTACTGGTTAGTTTATTTGACTCGGACAGTTGATGATACACAAGAAAGCATAATATAAGGCAAGTTGTGCAGTATCAAAAAACTCTTTAGCTGTGGAGCAACATGTATTACGTACGAAGCAACCTGACTACTTGAATTAACTGATTGTGTGAGAAAATTGTCTTGAAGCGAAGATTACAGTCTGCCTTTAGATGTAGTTGTCCTATATTTATGCAAGAATTTTGATAGGACGCTACACTTATGACTTACAAAAGAGTTTTTTAGTTTTAGAATAACAAACCGAATTCAGCTGTTTTGTAAATATTTTTGTGTGAGAAAAGTTATGAAATGAAGGTAACTCTATAAAGATGGAAACCACTAAATATCAACATGCTACGACAAACTATCTAAGGTCCCCCCGACCTTCCTTTTCTACGTTAAGAAATTATAGAAAGCATCTACATAATCATCAGTCATGTATATAGATGGTTTAACAGTTTGGAAAGATATTAATATGACAACGCTCTAGACCTATTTTCTCATACTACGACGATAATCCAAAAACTGGTGGTTAATAATGAATTCCAGTAACAACCAAATAATCCAAATGAGACACAACAATGGTCATCAAGGCACTAATTAATAGCCACCATTTAATATTTTCATTAAGGTTACTTTGCAATGCTGACTTTGTTTATACTGATGTGATATTCTAAAGATTTTTTCCAGATGGAGGGCAGTTTTTCGCAAAATCTCTGCGATAATGACCGGAATATTGTCTTCTTCTGTCGGCATTTGGTTAGATGACGAGGGTGTAGCGTGGTGTCGAATTGAGCTTGACTATGAACACCACTACCAGACTACAAGCCAATTAACCAGTAAGATCCCCGTAGGCCAATATAAGAAGACAGATGATGGCTGTAGTCGAGATGTATTTGTTGGCGATCTCGTGGTATCGAAAGAATACCGAGATCGTGCCATAGGCGTACAAGCGTGGTTACTGAGCGTAACCGAATTCGTACAAGTCAAAGGGAGAGTAAGTAAGTGAAATGGCTGTCATAAGCACAGTTAAACAAATGAGCAGAGTAAAACAGTCACTGGTACAATTGGTTATAATAATAATTGTTTTCATTGAACCAATCGCGTTCTGTTGACAAAAGTAGGTCACTACAAGGACATCCATACCAGAAGGTTGTCAATGAATTACCACTGAGTGCTGAACAAATTGTTAATTAGGCTTATCTTATAAGGCTGTTAACTTAATATTAAATGGTCTATGGAACTCTGTCAAGTTCCTTAATAACTAGTGATTGGAGTCCCGACACATGCTACAGCGTAATCCCATTACATTATCTGTTTTTGACAAGATAGTTTCCCTCTTAAAATTCTATTTGTTCTCCAGAGTATTTATGGAGTTTAATGGTCATTATATGGCCTGGATGTAGAGTTACAAAAGTTTAACTGCCACATAGCAGTTTTTCAACTTCTGTAAAAGTCGATTTCTGTTATCTCAGTTTGCCGCAGCAAGACACACCTTCTTCTAGTTTGATTTAGACTGCTATTATGTTGAAATAATCACTCATACTTACATTTGAGCATGTATCTTTGCAGATGATGCAAATATTTGTTCGTAAACCATCCTTTTCTTCAACTGAGTCAGTGTCGGAATGAGTTAAGTGAACGAAGAAAATCTCTGCTTGTCATGACTCTTCAGAGTTCTTAATATCCCGTTCAGCAAGATGGCATAAAAAAGACAGTCATTCCGAATCCAGTTCAGGAGATCCTGTTATGCTATTAAAATTATCGGATTGGTGTTATTATCGCGTTGTAGATCACTGGCTTATATGATCTGTGTTGAGTTAGGTAAGGATGGTGTGACCAACTAGCTAACATCGAAGTCACACCTCACAATTAGCACGTGACGCGTATTCCCCCTTCTTCGTATTCAAAGACTATGGCTGCTTTGATAACCGTCCAACATAAACGATGTTGTAACAGATATATTAGTAGGAGTAGGTACAAAAGCAGAGTGAGATCACTGCTACATGGGCCACTCCATGGCATGCGATTAATTGACACGCTCTGGTTGCCCTTGGCCCTGACGAGGATCAGTGAATTACTCGCCATCCAATGACCCAACTGCCGGATTATTTCGTTAGGGCCCATCGACATTCCACCTGCCCTGAATCAGTATCTGTGAGGGATTATCTTAAACCATTCGCCATCTCAGACAGGCAAGCTATCGCTAAGCAAACTCCCTTAGATAATATTGTAATTCACGAGTCGCCATATTACGTTTCGCAATTGTAATCTACGGATGTACTTGGGAGTGTTAAGTTCATAAAAATATCAGACCCGATAGAAACCATGTCACTGTGTAAAGGTGCTCCAGTCAATGTTAGCATTCTCGCATTATTCAGCAAAACTAGTATCGAGGTCGGTACCAGAGAGTTCATTTTTCTGAATAGAATAATAACCCCACTCGGGGATTGAGTACGTGACATGATGTAACTACCTAACCTACCAGACGCCACATTGAGGTCGTTTTTTCGTCCACACAACTTTGCCCTGTCGTGAAAATCAGAAACATGTTTAGCACTTTCGAAGGACATGCTTGAACTGGGGATAGGATATGAAAAGGTCTAAGTTACACAGTAATCTCGCCTGCATGGCCGAGCCACCCTGTCTTTTAGTGCTCACTATATTTGACCTTCTTTAGTGCTTAGTGTAGATGTTTTCAGTTACCAAATGCCCAACCTCAAAGATTGTGTGGCTGAGAACCAATAGCGCTACAAAATCAATATTGTAAGAATCATCATGTATTCCTGATTTTAATTTTTAAATGGAAGGAAAAAATCAGTTGTACGAAATACAGAGTGCAGTTCTATGTTTATAAGACTGTTTGAAATAAAAACATTAGTACGTGCTTTATTTTACCCAGAATTGCAAGTTGAATCTAGAAAATTTTTTTAAAACCGGACAACAAATTCTCAGAAGATCGTTTATCTACCGTAAAATGTTAGTTCAAAAATTTCATTTTATCAAATTACTACTATGCAATTGGCAGAGTATCAAAAATATATTTGTGTTTGTAAGGTTATCTATAAGAGAACTCTTTCATGAAGTCGCCGAATTGAGAACATTTTTTGAAAGTAGGTGAAAAAGTAGTCGGGCTGTATTTTTAGCATCATCAATTCCTCTGTGTGGCCGACCTTCAAAGTTTAATCCAACTAAATTAAGTGCATCCTTTAAACCACCTCGCCATTTCCGTCCAACTTTATGAGAACCAAGCCACTGCTAAGCACAAAAAGTACAAACGGAATAGTTTTAACATAAATTACGACAGGGAAAGAAATAAGTATTTCATTATTTAATGGAGACGTACTCGTTAACAATCCTTTTTATCTCTTATATTGTGATTCTTAAAATTGGTTTAGGTCTATACGACGATTAATTGTAACGGATAAAATATAGCTTCATAAGTAGTATGCAGATTTTGAAATTTTTTTTGCATGAATGAACAAAATTATCTCCAGTATCTTTATTTACTTTTCCGTACACACCGGTTGGATCAGTGTAAGGAATTGAACATTTTAATCAAGTTAGAGTGCATTTTTAAGCACTTCTAATTGGGAGAATGATATTGATTGTGGTGACATAGACCACTAGGCAGTACTGCACAGCTGTTCCGTATTAGTATGACTTTCTTCAACATGGAGTACTCGCACAATGCCTCGCAGCCAAGAAACATAACCATATGCTCACTACTGATTTGCTTTGAGGTGAGTCCACAAGGTTTAAAAAGAAAGTTGTGATTTCTGGATTAACATACTTATTATCGACGGAACTGTGTGATTGTCATGTTATAGTGGAAACACATTAAAGTAACATATGCGGACCATTGAAAAACAGAACAATGGACCAGTACATCAACGGAGATAAGCATTTACAGTTCGAAATTATATTCAAAAACCTATCAATCAAAGATCTTTTATTTTCATTTACGGATTCGAAACCCAGATTATTTCATAATCACCAAGTTACTCTACTTGATGTAAGATCTGACAGTTTGATATTAGAAAAATTAGAACTAGACAGTCTCTAAAAATATTTTACCTCAAAAAAACTATTAAAATTTATTATTTCTTAACGAACAATAAATGAATGGTGACTACTAGGAATTTTTCAAGGACCATTTTTACATATATTCCTGTTGGATAACTATTTAGAAACATCAGTATATGTATATTCATATTCCTTTTATTAAGAACTTGTAGAAGATAGCATTCAATTTGGCTGCATTAAATTTTTTTGTACATCTCTTCTTAGTTTCTGAGTCACGATCTCTTCAGTAGTATCATTTATGTATTGTAATTTTATGAATAGTACTTCCTCAGGGACCGTGGGTATCTTCGCCTTTGGTTTCATCTCCATCATGTGTTTGTCAATGAATTTCAAAGGGTACCCATTCGTACTATGTATGTTCTGAATTTTAGCCAATTCTTCATCAATGGTGTCTTCCGAGCAAATCATTCTGGCACGATGGGTCAAGATCTTTATCAAGTTCCTTTTGTATCTGATTGGAACTGCACTGTAGAAATGGGTGTATTGTCCTGTTGCCGACTTTCTGTGTAACCCTCTTTTTAAAGTTCCATCTGCTCGTCTAGTTAGTTGGACATCTAAAAACGATATGCTATTGTTCTGTTCATCTTCTGATGTAAAATTACTAGATGGATGAACGTTATTAAATGTATTAATTAAATTGTCTTTATCATGCTCTTTTTCTAATACTATGAAAGTATCGTCTATGTAACGATAATAAGATGGTAAATGGCTAATAGTGCTTTTAAGTGGTTTATTTTCCAGTTTTGCAAGGAAAATGTCCGCCAGTAGAGGGCCCAATGGTGACCCCATGGCAACTCCATCTAGTTTTCTATAATATTCGTTGTCGAATCTGAATTGTACATTCATTGTGCATTTAAGAATTAATTGTTTTAATGCGGATGTGGGGATTGCGGTTTCAATGCACCTCACTGTTAGTTCTTTGCAAATAAAATCTACCGTTTCAAGCAGTGGAATGTTAGTGAATAGGGATGATACATCAAGGGATATCATGAAATTATTCTTGACCGATAGATTTTTTATATTCTCCACAAATTCAAAAGAATCCTTGACACTATGCTTGACAATTTCTTTGTGTAATGGTTTGAGAATTTGCACCAACCATTTTGTATAGTATGATACGCTGAGTTATTTATATCTAGAAATGGTCGAAGGGGCAGGCCACTTTTGTGTATTTTTGGTAGGCCATATAGCCTTAGTGTAATCGTTCCTGTAGGTTTCAACATTTCGAACACCTTTTCTGAAATAAAACCTTGTTGTTTAATTTCTTTCAGTGAATCTGTTAGTTGTTTTTCAATCTGGTCTACTACATCGTTCTTCACAACCAGTTTATGAAATTTGCTTGAAAAACAACTAACAGATTCACTGAAAGAAATTAAACAACAAGGTTTTATTTCAGAAAAGGTGTTCGAAATGTTGAAACCTACAGGAACGATTACACTAAGGCTATATGGCCTACCAAAAATACACAAAAGTGGCCTGCCCCTTCGACCATTTCTAGATATAAATAACTCAGCGTATCATACTATACAAAATGGTTGGTGCAAATTCTCAAACCATTACACAAAGAAATTGTCAAGCATAGTGTCAAGGATTCTTTTGAATTTGTGGAGAATATAAAAAATCTATCGGTCAAGAATAATTTCATGATATCCCTTGATGTATCATCCCTATTCACTAACATTCCACTGCTTGAAACGGTAGATTTTATTTGCAAAGAACTAACAGTGAGGTGCATTGAAACCGCAATCCCCACATCCGCATTAAAACAATTAATTCTTAAATGCACAATGAATGTACAATTCAGATTCGACAACGAATATTATAGAAAACTAGATGGAGTTGCCATGGGGTCACCATTGGGCCCTCTACTGGCGGACATTTTCCTTGCAAAACTGGAAAATAAACCACTTAAAAGCACTATTAGCCATTTACCATCTTATTATCGTTACATAGACGATACTTTCATAGTATTAGAAAAAGAGCATGATAAAGACAATTTAATTAATACATTTAATAACGTTCATCCATCTAGTAATTTTACATCAGAAGATGAACAGAACAATAGCATATCGTTTTTAGATGTCCAACTAACTAGACGAGCAGATGGAACTTTAAAAAGAGGGTTACACAGAAAGTCGGCAACAGGACAATACACCCATTTCTACAGTGCAGTTCCAATCAGATACAAAAGGAACTTGATAAAGATCTTGACCCATCGTGCCAGAATGATTTGCTCGGAAGACACCATTGATGAAGAATTGGCTAAAATTCAGAACATACATAGTACGAATGGGTACCCTTTGAAATTCATTGACAAACACATGATGGAGATGAAACCAAAGGCGAAGATACCCACGGTCCCTGAGGAAGTACTATTCATAAAATTACAATACATAAATGATACTACTGAAGAGATCGTGACTCAGAAACTAAGAAGAGATGTACAAAAAAATTTAATGCAGCCAAACTGAATGCTGTCTTCTACAACTACCCCAAAATAAGAACGACCAATAAAGAAAGACTGCCTGAGTTCCCCAAATCTATGTGTATCTATCGGTTGAACTGCTCCTGTGGAGCCAGTTATATATGGTGTACAATTCGGCAAGTTCGTCACCGTATTACAGAACATCATCCGCCGTGGTTAAATAAAGGACAGGTAAAGTGATTAAAAGTTTTATTCTCGCTTATTTGGTTGACACAGGTCATCAAGTTGAATTGAATAAAGCTTTTAAGGTTATCTACCATATCCCATCAAATTTACCACATGGTTTACGAGTGCGCCTTTTGCACATTGCGGAAGCCATCGTAATCCATGTTTACAAACCTGACCTTTGCATTCAAAAGAAATTTGTCCAACCACTTTCGCTGCCTTGGCCATCGGTATAAGATTCTCTTCAACAGAACTATTTCCCATACTTCTCACATTTGGGTTTTAATTTTTTTTGAACTTTATAATTTCTCAACATTCACCTCTTGATTCTTACGTAACTACCATTCTATTGACCATCCATTACAAATTCTGTTCCTTCTCTTTTTCATATATTATGCAACGTAGCAACTTCTTGATTTAATAATTACTTTGAATGTTAATAATCATCTTTCATCCAAACTACTCGATGTTAATTTAAATGTCATTATGTAATTATTACGTAACGTATCCACTCAAGGAGTATTATATCATTAATATATATATATATATATATATATATATATATATATATTAGTGTAGAGCCATGATGAAAAACTGATTGAAAACAAATTTCTTCGCTCAATTCGTTCCTTCTATAAGTAGGGATTTATTTGTGAAGCCTTGTATCATGTTTACTGTATGAGAACTACATAAGCCTGACCGACTAAACCAAAGGCTAAAGTTGAATTTCGAAACCAATGTTGAGGATGATGTAACCAATAGTTAGCCATTAAAATAATGTACACCTCTAAAGCCACTCTATCCCACGAGGTTGCTGGTGCCACACAACTAATCAGACTCAACAAAATGAGAAAAGATATTAATGGGTAAAGGAATATTTACTATATACCAAGAATATAGATTAATGAAATGTATATGTATACACTTATTTTTAAAACAAATTATTTTTGATTGATCGGTAGGTCTAAATTTGAAGAACTGTAACTCAGTTAGTCCGTAACTGACTATTAAGTAACTTATTATACAGAAACAATCCACTAGTGCCTCAATAAAAAAAAATAACCACAACTATCGAAGACAGCCGATTTACTGAATTATACATTTGAGTTCGTTCTAATACTTCTTTTCATTTTTGGCTGAATAAGTGTGATGAGATCATTAGTCTCATTTAGTTCTGACGTTTAAGTTCATTATAATCCAGATGTTATAGTTGATTGATACTCACAAGACAGAATGTCTAAAATTTGTATAGATGAGTGTATGGTAAGATTAGTTAGAATAATTTACAGGTACTATCAAATTTCTGCACACAGAATTGAGTTAACAAATGACTTAGTAAATCAATCGGAAATACAGCTGATACAAAGCATGAAGCACAGGAAAAACATAATATTCTAATGAAATGCAAGTAAGTAAACTTTTTATGTTTACAACGATTGTGTGTATCAATTGAATTCCATTTTCCAAAGTAGTCACATTGGTAGACTAGAAAAAGTGATCTCAGTTAAATTCTTTGGACAGTTTTCAAAATGCCTACACTTCAGAGCAAAAAGGGATGTCTAGTAGTTTAGCTTGTGGGTCAAATCTGACTCACACGAAATATTGTGTAGATAAATGCCATTTAATCTTCCAAGTTTTCTTAAACGTGCGGAAGATATAGCCATAAGATACTTCACAACTAAATTATGTGTTGAAAATGAAGCAACTATGTCTTTTTGACTCGATACATGGTCACTGATAAGTCTTGCGATTTGAATGCTATACTCGGCTCCTAAGTTTTTCTGAAACCCCCAAGCTAGAACTATACAGCGACCTGAACACGAGAGAGAAGGCGCGAAGTGTACGAAAAGTACTTTACTCCAAGGTTTCATTTTAATACAGAAAACAGAGTGTTTTTTTAATATTCTAAATGTCCTTGGGTTGCTTGAAAATTCTGGAATGCTACTAAACATAGTAGCGGTATAACAATCAACCAATCAGAACCTCTACATGTGACGTTTCACATCACTGATGTTTCTGGCTAAACTCCAAGTGAACGCTGATTGGGTGAAATGCTTCTTAAGGTTTCCTGATCCTTGCGTGTCTGTTGCGAGAACTTTTCTGGATCATCCCAACAGTCACACAATTTTCTAACTCTTTAACATTTCATGCTGTAATTTGGTTGTACCTAACTGAGCTTAACTCACTACATATATCGTCGAGTCATGATTGACTTCTGTTTATTTAATCTATTATGTAACTCTTTATTTCAAGCACCATAGTCATTTTCACCAACACAACCGATTGTTCAGAATCCATGAAATAGGTGAACTCCTATTATTCTGTTACGACAGTAGCAGTTATACTCATAATCACTTCCCGTTCAACCCTTATTCAGAGTTTTACTAAAGTGTAATTTAATATCAATAGGGAATAATCTATTGTGTTCACTAGTAGAAGCACCTTGTTTTCAACCAATGGATTGCAGGTATGAACGCTCTACTGCGTACTTCATTTTAAGCTACCGAATTGTCACCACGAACTCGGACAAATAGTGTGGTCTAAGGCCGAGGGTATTTAACTGAATTAAATGTTAAATGAGTAACACTTTACTTTCATCTACTTCGCTCGTTAATCCAGTTAGCATTGATTACTGGTTTATTACTTGAAACAAATACTACTCATAAAATAATTATGCGTATGTTCGTTCACATTTACCATCACCATACATATTAGTTTGCCTTAATAGTTAGAAATAATTGGATTGTTTAAAGTACATATTTTTATTTCTATTTTAGAGCCAATTTATATAAAATAAGATTGCTTTAATAAAACATCTTAAATATTCAGTGAGGTTTTTTAATACAAGGCATATGAAATAAACAGAAACATACTACTCACTTGAAATATTGCCTTTAGATCGATACGATTCAACATATCACCAGGCAGAGGTAGTTTCTTCCGTCTACATTCATCCCATAAGCATGTACTTATATCCCAGTCTTGAGTTTATGAAGAAAAAATAATAGAATGTTACACGTTTCATTTAACTTACAATATAAAGTGAATAGTACATAAAGGAATACAACACTACCCATTTATAAATTTGAATAGTGTAATAACAACGAACGATATGATCTCGTGGCCTGCTTGGATATCTGTGTTACCTGTTCCTGCCATCTAGATATTTCAAAAAGTTACCTGACGTTCGTTTGTTTTGATACATCATGATGTTTGTTAACCACATAACCTATTCAGGAGCGTTTATGAGGCGTTTACGACCTTTCGCTGTACAACTTACAAAAAAGTACAATCAGAGAAATCGTGGTTGCTAGCAATATGCATTGAAAAGAATGAAAATTATTCAGATGTTGATTCTTGAAATTGCTTACATCTAACTGGCGGTCACTCAATACTTGTCGTTAGGACTGATCGAGAAATAAGAAACGGAAACTTGTTGAAATACTTTCCCCTGCGAATTCTATATTGTACCAAAAATACAGAATTGAATGATAATAATAATGACACAAAGTCATGGACAATTTTTTACTGTTCGAATAACAGTCTGTTAAACAAGTCAATTGAAGGGCTTGAAAAAATTAACCGTAAACAAACTAAAGTGTAAGAGAGGTGCTATAGTGGATTCTTTTCATGTGCTTACAACCTACGAATTAACATATATTAACCCCAATTGTGTTTAATAGTTTACATGTACGTGTCAAAAGTGATTACATCGGAAGAAAAAGACAGGTTCTTGTAGGCAACTCGGAACACATTCTACAGCAGTTGATACTAAAATGTTAACATATCTTCAACAATGCGGTCACCCATCATCTGTTTGATAATTGATATTAATGTTGATATTTTAACATCTTTCGAAATAATTGACATGCAAAAGTAACTTTAAATTCATTACGTTTAGCCGAAGCAATAGTTATCGAAGGGTCGAAACTGAACGTCAACAGAATACAGTTGTCAATGTCGAATTACCCTGGTGACTTTAAACTCCAATATTTGACTGAGTTATATCTTATTTCATACTAGCAGTTATGAATTCCTGTTATTCATTCTTGTGCCATATTTTGAGCTTTACTCATTTTACTTTTCTAATCTATCCATTTTTGTAGTAACTTTAACGTAACTCTTGACATTAAATTCTATTTCCTCAAACCTTGTTTTCATGTCCTTGAAATTTTTAAAACCTTTCATGGTAGTCAACACACAAATGCGATAGAAAACTTTTATAATTCTTCGATACTTAATACATTTTCACTAATATTCATTCATATGATATAAAGAATAAACACTGGTTTTAGTAATTACAATTGTTCCCAGGTTGCGAGCATCTGAAGTGACTAAATTACGCAAATGAACTCATATTATTCCGTTACGTCCGTTGTCACTGATTTCTTCAGTGATATTACATTTAAGGTGTACGGTACTAGAAAAAACACTTGTATGTAACTCAGTAACCTCAAGTAACTTAGTATACTAGGTTGTATATAATATTTATCGTAGAAAATTTGAGAATATTGTTCAGTTAAAGTGTAGTAGGTAAAGTATGCTTTCAACCGGTGATGCAGAACTAAAAGCTTGTTTCAATAAACTCTGAACAACTAGAACCATACGATAAACCGGGTGGACATTTCATTCTCATAGTTACTAAGTATGCTTCCATAGATTTATGATTCGCCATATTATTAAAGCATTAAGCTAGCTAGAAACGAATTTTATAACTACAACTATGTCAGTAGGACAGATGGGACAGAAAAGCCTAACTAGAGGAAACAAAACTAGGATTCAAGGTCTATTCCGTCCATGACACAGTAGTCATACCAATCTTAACACATTACATGGTCCAGATGGTATGGCACGTAGATCAATATATGGTCATCAAGTTGTATTGTAAATGTACTGTATGTAGTTCAAATCAAAGTAGTGTGGATAGTATAAAGGAACTGAGCATAGACAATAAAACCCAAAAAGGAACGGATAAAAGTCAAGAAAAAGAAATCGTGGGCTTGATGGAACGCAAGATTTAGGGGGAAATAGAAAATGAACTGTTCCAAATGATTGAGAGGGATGATATCCATCATAATTACGTAAACATTTTAATGGTGGTTGAAGATTAAAATCTTGAGAAATTAGTATCATAATCTACGTGTAAATAATTTAAATGTAATTTAATGTATTTAGAATTTGGTCAAAGCTGTGTAAAACTATATAGAATTCGCTTTTTATAGCAATTGAAAAGCTGAGATTATCGGTTGAATGGGTTTCTGCTTGTCATCTATTTGTTTACTCCTTTTTAATATGATCACTTCTTTCGTTAGTCAACTGTCCCTTCAAACCGTAAGAAAGCTGATGATTGATACTGAATAACCAATCGTAGTTTAAGCTAGTGTTTGTTATATGTAAAAATAATCGACATAACAATGAAACTATCAGTTAAACTAAAACTAAGAAACCATTACTACATTCATCATTTTTTACATCAATTATGCCTAACAATGATGTAGGTAGGTCTATTTGGGCTAGTACTGACGCAAAGAACACATTTAACAAAAAAATTTGGCAAACTCACCAGTCCATGTTACGAATATAGCTGTTGTAGCTGGTTGACCTTTAAAGGAACATCCTAAAGTTTCTTTGGTTTTTCGAAGCCAATGCTCAAACTTTCTCAAAACAACTGCCAAAGTAGGAGCGTTTTCTACATCGCACTAAGAAAAATATTGTCATCTATCATTTGTACACGTACTTGTTGAATGCTGGTTAAATCAGAGCAGAATACAGTTAGCTCTGGATTTTCTGTTGGTTTCACGAAACTTTGAAATGAATCTACTAATGTTCCCGTAACTGAATCTAATACAACGACAGGAAATTCAACTGAAAAAGTTGTGCAAAATATATTCACAGCATACTGATTTCAGTAGGCTTTCTACTTTCATCTTCAAAGCATGTAGATTCGAAGTCTAGAATAAAAAACCAACGTAAATCTGGTACTAAGAACAACGAAGAACAACCTACTATTCGTAAGATTATTTTTTGCAAACGAATCAAAGTCATAGAATGCACCAATCCTTCTGACAACAAGAAAATGTTTTGTTGGAAATAACACACTTACTTGGCTTCATTGATAGTCTTTTGCATTATCCGAAAGTGTTATTCAGTTATAAATGCGACTTCTCTGAAATTTAACACAGAAATCTTTGAAGCTTTACAGAACAAATTAGAATTTATCTGAAATCTGAGGTACTTGAGATAAAATACCGCTATTTACTGTAGTTTCCCAACCGATGATTCATATAGACAACTAGCTTATATGATTGTCAATGAAGGACAGGCCATAATTTGTCCGTAAGTACACACAAAAACACTTTAGAGCCTGGCTTTGCAGCAAATTGATTCAAGTTGACATATTTCACCTGAGTATAGTGAGATGAAGGAAGAGTAAAAATTATAGACCGAAATGAAAATAAAAAAGAATATGTAATAAAAACAGTTTTGGTTCAAAGTAAAATAAACAACCGATTTAGTTGTCGTCCAAAACCAAAAATCTAGAGTTGTTTCAGGCTATCGATTATAGTTCTATGGTACACAAACAAAAATCAATGACTTTGAAAATTGATAATATCTAATATCGTCATATGACATACACTAACTAAGGTAGTTTTGAATGATATACCTGCCCAAGATCAAAAAAGAAATTTTAAAAACTTAAGTTAGTCGTTAGAGTTTTGTGTTACCGAAATACCAGAATTTATCAACCTTAACTAAAAATGAGTGCTAATAAAAGTGAAGATATATAATAAGAAAAACGGAGGGTTACTGATCTCTTCCAGATGGGTAGGGATATAGCCAGTTAACTGTCCAACTGTCAGTGTTGACGTTAATTAACTTGTTAAGTAGTTGTCTTGGAATACAATCAGATGCAGGGGTATAGTCCAGAAAAGAGCATCGAACGTTATTCTTACCCTTTTCTAAGCTGAACATTATATTATGAAGCAAAACAACAACAGTATCTAAGTTGCTTCTTTTGTATTTGTAAGAAAACTGACATGGACCGATGGTTTTTATTAGTGCATGTTAAAGTGAGAGTAGCAATAATTTTCCCACTGATTTGAGGAAAGGTGAAATTATCACTAAGGGTCTAAATTTCACATTCGTATAGCCTGATACTTTCCTAGTTATTAGGGTTGTCTTTAGCGTTCTCCACATTTTAGGCATGAGATTAGTTGCGAAGATGGTAACAGACAACCATCCCAACACTAAACCCTGTGCAAAAGTGCACCAGTTTAAGTTGGGACGATTCGTGATATCACAAAAAATAACGGAAACTAAGTAATACCAAAGTAAGAAATAAGAGTATGACTGAAAAAGGTGATGAACCTATTACGTAAAGAACACAGAGTAGACTTAACTACGTGTCTAACCAACCATATTTAAGTTGGATTGTAACTTATGAATAAGTATGATACCAGTAAGGTGCTTCTCATAGACAACAAAGTCCTCAAATAACACTGATCAGAAGCGTAAATTAAGAGGAAAAAACAACATTGGAACCCAATATGATATTAAAGAAGTACAGAGGATGATACTATAGGACGGTAACAAAATTATGAGGTCGAGTTTATTTTCGTAAAAACCCGTCGCTCGCCGACCATGTAAAGAAATAAAAAAAGAAAAGGATTACAATCTCTCCACGTCAAATGGGGAAAAGATTCCATGACAGTAAATTTTTAGGTGATGTCCCTGTTAGGCTAAACGTCACTGAATCCACTCCCGGAGCAGCGCACACACAACCTTATTTGGATTCAGAAATTTGGGACAAGTTCGAAACATGTCACATGACTGCTAAATAATTAAGCTACGGTCACACGCACATAGCGACTATAAATTGGTTGCTTTCCGCCACAAAACCTTACAACTAGAGTGAAATACTAACACAAACTTTAGAGCTATGCTGACAGTAAAATAAACTCGAAAAGATTGTAATTTACGAGACACTATCGATCGTTATCAAACTACAAGAACCTGATGCCAAAGCGGATTTAAGGAACAAAAAAATAAAATTATGCACCAAGATATTGGAACACGGACTTTAAATCTTGAATTGTGTTCAGCCAAAACACGTAACCTCTGTTCAATAACATTTGATGAATAAAAGACGTTAACAACAACAGTACCAGTTGAGAGTGACCGAGTAAATGTTTTAAGTAGTATAGCTTTCTGTGTTGACTTTAAGAGCAAGTAACTAATAAGCGACAGAGAAATGCGTGACTCACGAGAATGCACACACTACTGAAGACAACCTTCAGCGTTTTAGTTAGTGCGCGTTTCTGAAGTCTACAATTTGAATATTCATTATCGATACGAACAATTTCTGCTTGCTTCCATGAACGTAAATTAGTTATGGCAACAGTCCAAATTCTTATACAATGTCGTGAACCATTTGAACAACTGTTGTTCATTTCCTTGATTTAGATGTTTTGCAACCACTACGTCCAACTCTCAACTGTCCGGAAAATTCCTCATTGAATTTCAGGGATTGAAACATCAGATTCAGTTTTAGGCTATAAGGATAGAAGGCCTACGGCCTGTGTTATTATCTTTCCAGTATGCTTCTGTGGGTGATTAATCTTTTCTTGAATGTGTCAATTGATGGTGCAGACACTACTGCTTCGAACAACATGTCCCAAGAATTGATGACTCGGTGTGAAGACTTGTTCGTCACGGGTATTTTGTTCGTTATTGACTTTTCTACTCGTCTGCTGTGTCCTCTGAGGTGTCTTAATCTAGTGGGAAGAAAAGGAGAGGATATTTTAGGTCCAAAATTATTTCTTAGTATTCTGCACATCAAAATCTGATCACCTCCTAATCTGCGATGGGAAGATTGCTAACATTGTCCGGAACTTATACAACAACGGAAAGTAGTGCATGGAGGACAGCTTACAGATGCACTTCAAGTAAGGACCGGGGTCAGATAAGGCTGTCTACTTTCTCTCTTCCTGATTGACTGGACTTTTAAGACCTCGACATCTGAGGGAAAACACGACATAGAATGGACAGCCCAGAACCAATCAGACGATTTGGACTTCGAAGATGACCTAGCCCTCCTATCGCGTACACACGAACAAATGCAGATAAAGACAACCAGTGTGGCAGCAGTCTCTGCATCAGTAGGCCTCAACATACACAAGAGGAAAACCAAGATCCTCAAATATAACACGGAGAACAGCAACCCGGTCACATCTTATGGAGAAACTCTGGAACATGTAGAATCCTTCACATACCTGGACAGCACCACCGATAAACAAAGAGGTTCAGATGCATACGTAAAAGCGAGGACATATGGAACTCAAAACAACTTTCAACGTCAACACAGTTCTACTGTACGGAGCTGATAGTTGGAGAACTACTGCAACCATCATCAAGAAGGTTCATGTGTTTGTGAATAGTTGTCTACGCAAGATACTCAACATCCATTGTTCAGATACTATCAGCAACGACCTTTTGTGGGAGAGAACAAACCAGCTTTCAGCTGAAGGGGAAATTAGGAAAAAACCACTCTTGGATATATGTGTGTGGTCCCTTAATAAACGTAATTAACGCTTCGTATTCGCCTTCTGATTAACATACCGTTGGAGCATTATTTGGTGACGGTTACCGAGACGAACTGTATACGGAGTTTAAGGAATATATCGAACACCGACCACCACAGAATTGGTGATCCCAATGTGCGAGCAAGAATAAATCTTCGACGACGTAATCCAACTCCGACAATCCAACGCACTGTATTTCAATTCGAGCTAGCATTTTGGATTATAATCATTACTGTGGATTTATTATGTCACCATTTTAATTATACGTACATTATCACACAAACATTATTGAACATAACGTTAATATTCATGATAAACAACGAAATTTTTCAAACAATTGATATTTTGGTGCAATTTAGTAAGTCCGTTCCTTGTAATTAATTGTACCATTTTGTATTATCATTGTTTTTAACGATTTACTTCTCTCCGTGACATTTATATTATATACGTATAATTTTTGATCTTTATAATCATGTCTTTAAATAACGACACAATAGACCTTCCACAAATTTCGTCCGTGAGGTCCATGAATGTAACTATTCCTCCTTTTAAGATCACAGATCCTGAACTCTGGTTTATTAGACTCGAACATTACTTTGTTGCTAGTCGTGTTCACTTACAGCGAGATAAATTCGGCCATGCGAGCTCACTACTTCCGGATGAAGTAGCCGACAATGTACGAGAGGTTTTAACTAAGCCAGACATCGAAAAGCCATACGACGCACTTAAACAGGCTGTGATTAAAGCCGTCTCATTAAGTGACCGACAAGCCGTCGAGCAGCTTCTCAGTCAAGTGCAGATTGGAGATAGGACTCCGTCGCAGCTAAAAAATTATATGAGAAGCATAATCGGAGTCAGAAAAGTAGATAAAAACATATTTTATCAGTTATGGCTACGACGACTCCCACCGAACGTTCAGTAGATCCTCGCGGTTGAGGGCAGCGATGTCGACATAGACAACATTGCTAATATAGCCGATAGGATTTACGAGAGAATGAAACAAACGAGTCCGCAAAGACATAATACCACAGTAGATGAACGAATCGACGCATTACAAAAGGAGATTAACGTTTTATGTCACAAGCTGACGAAACTAAATCAGAGCGATATACAAAGAAAATGGTCGCGAAGTAGGTCGAGAGATAGAAGTCGATCATGTTCTAGGAGACGCTCAGCTCCTACAATATGTTGGTACCATCAAACTTTTGGCGACAAAGCTCGAAACTGTCGACCACCATGTAAATTCAAACGATCACATAGATTGTCGGTAAACGCCGCGACAACTAGAACAGCTCCTAGAAACAGTCGTTTGTTTTACGTTCAGAACAGAGTAACAGGTGCTCAGTTCTTAGTGGACACTGGAGCAGAAGTAAGCGTTGTGCCTCCAGTGAGTAACGAAACGCGAAATATCGATACAGCGCTAACGCTTAAGGCAGCAAATAAATCCGATATAAAAACATATGGCAAGCGTAAAATAACCTTGAACTTTGGTCGTAGCACTTCATTCCGCTGGGAATTCGTCATCGCAGATGTATCCGTACCTATAATTGGTATTGATTTCTTAAAGAATTTCGACTTACTAGTGGATTCCCGACGAAACCGGCTCGTGAACGAAGACCATTCAGTAGTGATAAAAGGAGTGATAACCGATTACGTATCCATGAATTTAGTAGTCTCAAAAGACAAAAGCGAGCCATATAGAGCGCTTCTAAATGAGTTCACTGATTTGACGAGGGCATCATACGATAACAGAGATCTTAAACACACTGTACAGCACCATATTATAACGAAAGGTCCACCGACCAACGCAAAACCACGGAGGCTAGACCCAAATAGATTGAAGATTGCGAAACGAGAGTTCGAAAAATTGATGAAGCTTGATATCGTAAGACCGTCTAATAGTCCCTGGGCATCCCCGTTGCATATAGCCAACTATGTACAACGTCTAAAGCAACATATGGGTGATCTGAGGATAACGCTTCCGAGGCAACAGCAACATCGTGTCTACATACCAAAACGACTGACCGATAGTACCCATGTGTTTATCAGAAGGGATAATGTGCAGCGTCCCTTACAACCGGCCTACGATGGTCCATTCAAGGGGATTAAAAGAAACGATATAACTATTACGATAGAAAAAGCTGGAAAAACGGATGTAATTAGCATCGACAGAGTCAAACCAGCTTTCATCGAAACCGACGATCAGCCAATATATACAGGTACTGCGAAAACTGTCGAACCACCGAAACGCGAGTCCCAATCATCAACGACATCGACCAACACAAACGAAGAAAATCCAGTAACGACGAGATATGGCCGAAGAGTGAGATGGCCGCAACGATACATAGCTACGATTTTGAATTGATAATTTCTTTCACCTCTTCGAATGTAAATTTAATCTTCATTTTCTATGTACAAATCGAAAATTTTAGCTTATCTATTATTATATTCAACATATTTTATGTATTCTACCGATCTTCCGTTATGATCTTATTTGGCCTCACGGACATATACCAACTCAAACTTACACATATTTTTAATAACATATACGATAGTTCTATCATATATCTTAATTTCGTAAGTTTCAATATTTCCCACCTTGTTAAATTTGACATTTTTTTTCGCAAACACAGATACTTTTGTATCATTGTTTGCTGGGAGGAGCTATTATAGCAACTCACGTTCAATTGAGTTTGCTCTCATCCATTCGGTTAAGCCCTTTTATTAACTTATTAAACGGACAAAGTCACCTGCACTATAATAACTTATTGTATCCTGATTACTGTTGCGAATGTATGTACCTTTATTATTGTTATCCTTGTATGAATATGTATGCTCGGCAAGCCTTACTGCCTACGCATTTATTCACGCTACTAGCTTTACTATTAACCGCTTAACTGACTTGATGATTCATTAATTTCACTATGTATATATATGTCCATGTTATTCATATTCACGACTCGCTCGCTCGTTCATTCACTCGCTCGATCGCTCGCTCTTGCCCTTGCTCTCTCTCGCCCGCTCGCTTGCCTGTTTGCCTTTGGGCACAACTATTTCATGCTTGCTTAACGCATCTGTAATTTTGGATATCTTTGTGTGGTCCCTTAATAAACGTAATTAACGCTTCGTATTCGCCTTCTGATTAACATACCGTTGGAGCATTATTTGGTGACGGTTACCGAGACGAACTGTATACGGAGTTTAAGGAATATATCGAACACCGACCACCACACCACGTACATACATACTGCATCATGAGGCAAGCCCTAATTTGGAATCCTGAAGGGGGGCGGAAAAGAGGAAGGCCAAAAACACATTACGTCGAGAAATAGAGTCAGATATGAAAATAATGAATATGAACTGTAAAGAGCTGAAAAGGATTGCCCAAGACAGGGTTGGATGGAGAATGGTTATGAGCGGCCTATGTTCTTTCACGAGGAGTAACAGGCGTAAGTAAGCAATTAAGTAGCATTGACTTCAGCAAAGCTTTCGACAAAGTTCCGCACAACCGACTGTTATATAAATTAGGAAATGTCGGGATTGAAGGCAATCTATTGATGCGGATGAAAGACTTCCTATTTGGGCGCCAGCAAACTGTACGGGTGAACTTCAAGTTGTCTAGCTGGTAATCTGTGCTTATTCGAGTGCCCATGGTACAGTTTTGGGGCCAGTGTTATTCCTCCTGTATGTGAATGACCTTCCTCGCCTAATATCATCATCGGTCTTGCTATATATTGACGATGTCAAGAAATGGAGAGCCATACGAAGTAAGGATAATAGCTTAGAAATCCAAAATGACCTGGAGAAATTATCTGAATGGTCTCAAACCTGGCAGTTGCCGATAAATACTTCCAAGCGAATTCTGATGT